TCACTAAGGAACAGCACAGTCACTTGGCGTCAGCTAAGGAGCCCTCAGGCGCGGGGCCCTCCGGTGCAGGCCGACCTAAGTGGGGGGTGCTCCCTCTGAGCCAGGACACGGGGAAGATGGACATCTGTTGAAGGCAGGCTGCAGTGGGTGAAGGCCCAGCGTGCACCCGCCCGACAGACCACCAGCTTCCATGACCTCCGCGGCTCCCCCGCACTGCTTGCCAAGCTCCTCGTGGTAAGAAGCCAGCCAGCGGCACTGGACTTAGCTCAGCGGCGGGACACTTGCCCATCAAGTGCAAGGGCCTGGGTGCTGACTTCAAGTAAAAGCAAACAAACGAACAGATACACAAACGAACAAAAGCCCAGTCAGCTCCAATCGGCCTTTGCAGCAGGAGGGCTGCACTTCAGACGGAACCCCCAGGCGAGGCTGCAGGCTGCAGAGCACCGCCTCCCAGCAGGGCGCTGATGGAGGTGGCACCATCTGCCCCTCCTGGGGATGGCCAACAGAAGCAGGCAAGCAGGCTGACTCTAGGCTAGGAAACCAGGGTGCTGAACACAGTCCAGTCAGACCAGTTAATTTTGGTGGCTCTAAGACCAGGCAGTGTCCGGGTCAGGCCTGATGGGGGTCATGGCCCCGATGGGGTTTGCTCTGGGTATCGGGAAGGGTCACCGGGGGCGTATGCAGCGGCCTGCCAGGCTGCCTCCTTTCCCGGTAGCAGGGACCCTCTGCCGGGCTGTCAGTTTCTGCGTGTGAAGGAGGAACGGGAGGCGCCTCCGGGGTAGCGGGGTGGAGAGACAGCTCAGATGAGGCTTCAGGCCACTTTAGCAGCTTGGATGTGAGGGCACTTTGCCCATCAGAGCCCGGGTTTCCTCCATTAACAGGATAGAACAGAAACCATGGCAAATGAATATCCAGCCAGTGCCTAGTCTGGCTTGGGCTCAGTGAGGGGAGTTGTTTTCTTCTCCTTGGTCTTGAGTTGCAAACTGCAGGAAATACACCAAATAAGTCTTTCTAAACAGATCGGTAGGGGCTGGGGATTTAGCTCAGCAGCACAGCACCTGCCTGGCAAGTGCAAGGTTGTGAGTTTGATTCCCGGTACCGGAGAAAAACCAAAAAAAAAACCCAAAACAAATAAGCAGATAGGTAGTATACCCGTAATCCTAGCACTCTAGGAGGCTGAGGCAGGAGGACTGTCAATCTGAGGCTACCCTGAGCTGCAAAGCAAGACTGTCTCGAAACAAAATAAAACAACCAGTGCCCCCCGAACCCCCAACAAAGCAAAATACCCAAATGAAAACCTTTCCAATTACAAAAAGGGTCCTCCCGATCAGTATGGGGCTGGCGAGGTAAGGTTTTAGTTGCACTGAATAGTGCCACCCTGCATGTGCCACCAGGAGACAAAACTCCAATAGGCTAAACTGTGCGGGTTCCGCCGTGACTGGGCTTACACCAGAGAATCGTGTTGAACCAGGAGCCCCACCACGGTCCAGAGCATGTCAGGGAGCCAGGAGATGAGCCGAGCCCAGATCTAGCAGACTTCAAATGCCAGGCCCTCTCCCCGGTGTGGTCCAACCCAGTAGTGTGTGGTCTTGATATGTACAAGAGTTATCTGTGGAAAGATTTAAAAAACAGACACACCTGGGCCCCAGAGACTATGAACTCCTACAACTCGGCAACAAAAACGTAACTCAGTTTAAAGGTAGGAGCGGCTGGGGTGTAGCTGTAGCATGCTTAACATATGTGAGGCCCTGGGTCCAATCCTTAGCACACCACACACACACACACACACACACACACACACACACACACACACACAGGGTGAAGGACACTTCAGGGTCCAGCCTGATATGACTATACCATTGTATCCATCAGGGGTCCTGTCCTTCATCCTAAGCCCTATAGCACGGTCATTAAGACGTCAGCTGACTTTTGTTTTTGGTGATAGTGAGGTTGAACCCAGGGCCTCGGCACTAAGCAACACCAACTCATTTTTATTGTTTTTTGAACAAATCGTAAGATGTATTGCCTTGGTATATCGCACTGGCATCATCACGCTTCCTTCTCATTTATGTGCTTCCCTCTTCCCACAGTCTAGCTACACAGCGCATCCTTGAACTGTCAGCCCACAGCAGCAACATGCCTACTCCACATCCCTCACCCATTCCTCCCCAGGGTCCAGGTTCTGGTCCCCAAAGCCCTTCCTATAAGAAGTCTAGTGTTTGTGGAAGAGTTAGTAATAAACGAGGCCTCCAGGATGACTAGCCCCAGTAAGATGACGACGGGAAGCAGTAGCTTGTTGGTTGTCCCTTTTTTTGACACTGAATGGAGAATCTTTCAACTTTTGCTCCAGTTTCACCAGTCTACTTGTAATGGTTGAAGCATTGTGTAAATCTGAGTTTAGAAGCTTAAAGAAGGGGCCAGGGTCTTCGCTTTGTAAACATCCTCAGCCTGAGCAAGAGCAGGGCACAGAGATGGTGTGGGTGTAAAGGACCCACTCAGGTGCAGGCAGCCTGCGTACAATATAAGGCAGCAAAACAAGCTTGCTTGTCCCGTGTTTGCTCTTACTGCTTTTGCTGTCTTCCACCACCTTGAACTATTGCCCCTCTGCCTTGCCACCCTGCCGTGCGGCCCGCTGATTATGGACTGTGACAAACTGTGAGCTAAACAAACCCTTCTTTCCTTAATTCTGGGCACTGGATACTTTGTCTCAGCAAGAGAGAAAACTAAGGTACTGCTCTTGTCGTGTTCCAGCTGATCTCACGGCTCCCTCAGGTCCCCTAGGACTTCTGAGCCGTCTGGTCAGTGTCTGCGGCAATCCAGCGAGCCTGCTCCGTCCTCTGGGTGGCCGGGCTGAGGCTTCAGGGCCAGTGTCCTGACCCTGTAGCCGATTCATACGCTCATTCTCCATAGCGTATGCGCCGTACTTCACGTCCTTGCTCCCAGGTCTGGCTGTCGAAGGTGTGCTTATCACCTCCCCATGCAGTCTGGCAGGTCCTGCAGTAGTTCTGCAACTCAGACATGGGGTTATGGAAGGACACAGGTGTGTACCATTGTTCCTCCTCCATCTCTGCCAGCGTTCTACTTGCTTCTTGTTGCTTTTCATCAAAATCTCTGATCAACTTCTTGGTCCTGGTGGTCCCTAGCAACTGCTTGGGCAGCCCTGCTGGTCTTCACGAAGGCCACAGAAGATCTCATGCAGCTTTTCAAAATGCTCCCAGGGGGTGTGGTGGACGCAGCCAGAGTGCAGTAGGCAAGACTCTGGGCGCCGGCCCCTTCCTCACCCAGTGGTCAGCCACCCAGCCCCAAAGCCATCACGGTGACTGCCATGCTGCTGCCTGGAACTAGCTCATTTTTGAGGCAGAGTCACTCTAAGTTGTGAAGTCGCCCAGAGAGGGCTTGAACTTGTTATCCTCCTGCCTCAGTTTGCAGAGCAGATTACAGGCATCGGCCAGCACTCCCAGCCTGGACTGACTTCTTACCGCCGGTATGAACAGTCTGAAAAAACCCAGGTGTATTTGGTGGTGACAGCCCACCTTGTCTAGTTACCATAGAAACCTCCTCCTCCTGCCTTGTGGTGGTGAAGTTCCACCTGGCTTGTTGCTGCCCCACGATTCTGTCCCCAATAAATCCGTCCTGCACAATTATTTATTTATTGGTACTGGGAATCGAACTCAGGACTTTGCACTTGCCGGGCAGGTGCTAGTGCCACTGAGCTATATCCCTGGCCCCGTGCACAATTTTTTTTTTTCCTTTTTTTCCCCGGTATCGGGAATTGAACTCACGACCTCGTGCTTGCCAGGCAGGTGCTGTGCCGCAGCCCCTGTGCACAATTTCCGACTTGTCTCTTTCTTTGGTCTTTCAGCACTTTCCACCTTTGGTGGCTGGTTCTTGTACACTGGGTTTTCCCAAAAAGGACTTATTGACACTTTGCCAAAGAATATATACAAATGGCCAGCACGCACATGAAAAGATGCTCAGTGCCATCAAGAAAATGTAAATCAGGGGCTGGGGACTTAGCTCAGCGGCACAGCGCCTGCCTGGCAAGTGTGAGGTCGTGAGTTCAATTCCCGGTATTGGAAAAAAACAAAAAACAAAACAACAAAAAAAAGAAAATGTAAATCAGATGTTCAAGCTGCACCTTGCCAGTTGGGTATGATGGTGTACACTATAATCCCAGTGCTCTGGGAGGCTGGGGTAGGGAGACAGGAAGTTTAGGGCCAGCTGCAGCTACATAGTGAATTTAAGATCAGTGTGGACTATACAGCGAGACCCTATCTCAAAAGAACAAAAAAGGGAAAAAAAATGTCACATCAAGTCCATGAACACGGGTATGAAAAGCAAGCCATTTGTCATGGGGCATGCCTGCAATTCAAGCTACTCTTGTTGAGAGGCTGAGATAGGAGGATTTCAAGTCTGAGGCCCTGCCGGGCAACTCAGCAAGCCCCTGTCGCAGCAACAACAGCAGAAGGGCCGGGGGTGTGAGAAAGAAAAGAAAGGGCGGGGGTGTGAGAAAGAAAAGAAAGGGCGGGGGTGTTGCTTCAGCGCTCAGTGGCAGCGCGCCTGCACAGCGGTGTGTTCAAGGCCCTGGGCTCGATCCCAGTGCTGCAAAACAAAGCCGAACTAACAAAGCAAAAGGAAAATAACAAGTATCGACACGGAGAAGATAACGAGTACTAACCAGGACGTGGAGAAGCAAGTCACCTTCGCACGTGAGACGGGAACACAGTGCGGCCACGGCAGTTTAGTGGTTTCTCAGAAAGCTAGAACAGGGTGACTAAATGACCCTGCAGTTTCATTCCTAGTCAGATGCCCAAAATGAATCGATATTCATGCACACGTCCATAACAGCACTATTCACAACTGCTAAAACGTGGACACTCAAATGTGCAAATGACAAGCGTAATGTGGTACCGAAGTCTTCCCTCATCCGTGGTCAAGTGTGGTCCAAAAACACTGTCTTGACTCTCTCAAGAGTGACCACATTCACAGAACCTATTAAGTAGCTGTTATAGTTATTCTATTTCAGTGTTAAAGTGTTTTTAATTTTTGGTGCTGGCAATCACGCCAACATCCCCAACCTGTTTTTCATTTCTCACTATGCCCATCTTATAAACTAATGTTAAATCAGAACCAGTATACTGCATATAGGCTTCAGGTGTCTGTTGGGAGTCTTGGAGCATATTCCTCACAGATAAGGGGACCACTGTAGGCACACAGTGAAAAATGGTTCAGCCACAGAGTACTGACCCCATGCTCCAAGGAACCTTAAAAACAGCATGCTAAGTGAGAGAAGCCAGACACAGGTTAGGTGTTACATGATTCTATTTATGTAAAATGTCAATACTAGGTAAACCTGTGGAACAAACAGTAGGCAGACGGTTGCTGGGGACTGGGAAAACCCAGCATTGCAGGCCGGGACGCCCACCTGCTTACCTGCGGCCTAGGCTGTGCCGGGAACAAGGCCCGGAATCCATACCTGGAGAGCCCTGTGTCCTGACACCCAGTCAGCACAGAATGGTCTAACGAAGGGCGGAGGCCTTCCGTCTGGGCCCTGAGAACGGCGTTTCTTTGCTGTGGTGCTTCTTGGTCTGCAGTGCAGCAGGCCGCAGCGCTGAGGTCACAGCTCACAATGGTTATGTCCTCGGCTACCAGCCTTGCCACGGCGATCATGTCACTCATACCCCATTCCCGCCTCTCTTCTGAACTGTAAAACAGTCTAATCAACTATGAACTATCCACAGGGACACACGCAGTGCATCCTTGGCAAGGCGGAAGACCGTCCGCGGTCTAAGTCCTGCACTGGCGATTCTGTTCCAACTGACAAACTGGGGAGGCCGCAAGTTGGCCTTGGCTCTCACCGAGGAGCCCCCAGAGATGGAGCTGGCGAATGCTTCCTCCACCCCGGCTCGAAGAGATGCTGTCCCTGCTACAGATGTCGCCAGGCACTGTGCTGCACTGTCGCTTCTCAGAGTAAATAGTAAGTGCTTTACTAAGGCGCGTGAACTAGGGCTGCCTGGGCTTCTGGATGAAACGGAACGGACGCGCCCTTGCAGAGCTGGTATCAGGAGAACCACTTCTCAGGGTGACACCCTCCTACCCAGCGTGGCCATGGAGAGGGGCCTGAGGAAGTGCTGCCCCCTCAACGAGGCGGCCCGGGGTGCTCCTTGGTTTGCAGTGCAGCGGGCCACAGCCGAGTTCACCGCTGCCGAAGGTTATGCGCTCTGGCCCCCGCCTCGCCACCATATGCGACCAGTGACCATGCCTGCGGGGGCACGGGGCAGCTGCACGTCTTCTCGGCAGGGGCTGTGGTCCCTTCCTCGAGCCCTGGCAGAACGCCACCGTCCAGCACAGCCAGCCTTCTTGAGGGTGGTCTGGACGTCGTGCTTCTTAATGAAGAAAAGCGCCACTCCGAAACCCAACGCTCTCCTCCGCTGCGAGAACAGCGAGCAGACACACAGTCCTACTTCATTCAAGCCCCAGCCTGAAAAAGTGGCCCGCTCTGCCCTGTACGGCCTTCACCTATTCTGAGGACAGAAGGGCCGGGTGTGTCCAGGTTGGTGGCAAAGACTGCATTTCCTTGATTTCTTTGCCGTGGAGTCTGGATCTGAGGAACTGGTCCGGGGTCTCTTGCTCCGGCCTCCTGGCCAAGGGTGCGCTGCAAACGTCCCTATGGGAAAAGGTAAGAGGAAGGCTGAATTTAGAACTGACACCCACCCTGAAGTGGCAAGAAGTACAGGTACAGTGTTGGAGGGGGCGTGTGGGTTCACTCCCTCCTCTCTACAACCAACAGCTCCTTGTCAAAACATGACCCGCCCACTACCTTATGCTACCTGACACTTCTAAATAGCCTAGGCTCTTGGGCACTGTCCTGACAAAGGGGAACTGGTGTCACTTTGTGTAGGTCCTACGATGGCCACAGTGAAAGCACCAATTAGTGGCAGCTGTTCTTTAACTTAGAGCGAAGACTGTGGCTTACTGCTCTGCTGAAAGTGTCTGGAGCAAGACAGCAGGGAGCCCTTTGCAGTCTCCCGCTACAACGCCCTGCCCTCTTTCTGCCATCTCTGGCCTGTGAGGTGCACACCTAAGCAGGACCCACGTGCTCTGTCGCCTCACCTGGGGCCACGTTCTCGTCGGCCCACTGAAAGAAGCCACACTGCTGCTCCCGGGGCTTGGCACACGTGTGGAACTGGCGCCCTTTGTTGGGACCATCCTTCTGCACTGTCCTCGTGACGGCAGGGTGGTTGCACAGGCAGGCCGTGCTGCCGCCACTGCCATCGCCAGGGTTGCTGAGCCCACCGGAGCGGTGGCCTGAGCCTGACGCGTGTCCAAGTGAGCTTCCCGGGAGTCTTGATGCAGAGGCAGGGCCCCCTCCTGCTCCAGGATGGCCACCGTCGGCCCAGAGGAAGAAGCTGCAGGCACCACTGTTGCACTTGTAGAACTGCCGGCCCTGGTTGGGGCCCTCCTTGCGGACGGTGAGCAGTACAGCCTCCTGGCCACAGTTGCACGTCACGGAGTTGCTCTCACCAGTGGCAGCAGCTGGCAGAAAGGTCTGGGCCTGGGCCTGTGAGGGTCTGGTCCGTCTACTGCCGGGAGGGTGGGAGCGGCCGCTGTCCATCCTGTTCACTGACTGGCTAGCCTGCAGGTGGCCAGAGGGCTGGCTGCCTCTGGGAGGACCCTGTGAAAATCGCAGGCCCAGGATCTCCTTCAGGGTCTCATCACATCCGCCAATGCAGCCCACCAACTCCAGGGGCATGGTTGGGGGAAGGCTCCCACGCTTGAATTTGAACTTCAACCTAGTGAAGCCAGAAGAGGAGACAAAAATTACCAGCTGTTCAGCATCTTCTCCTCGGTCCAGAGGGTGCTCCAGCCACAGGCCAAGCCCTCATTTCCCGAGGAAGCCCATACAAGGCACCTGTAGGTCCTGGCCAGCCAACCACGAGCCCTGTGCCAACATCACAGCAGTGCGGAGCGGGAAGCAGAGCATACAACATCACCCAGTTAATCACCCATACAGATACCACTGCAAGGTCCCATTTCTCTACGCCAGTGGTTCTCAAAGTGTGGTTCTGAGCCCCGTAAGTTGAGGTGTAATCTAAGCGTGCTAAGGAGCTGTGTCTAGTTTGCTCTTATTCTTCTGTACAGTGGTTTTGAAGTGACCACACACGCAAGGATCACTGAAAGGGCAGATGGGAATCTGATCTTGCAAGTGTAAAGCAATGTCATTCTCTTCATTGGTATTACATTTTTGCTTTGGAAATTAGGTATTCTGCCTTTGAAAATTTATGTTAATAAGCAATGAAGTTCTATAAATGAATATTTTAAGATGTCTCCACTTTAACTTTAGGTATGGTATACACTGAAAAACTACCCACAAACAAAAGCTCTCTGGGCTTTTCAATGATTTCTTAGGATGTGAGTGCTTCAGTGACCAAGAGGTTTGAGAACCACTGTCCTGCATTGGGGCTCTGGGCGTTTTGGAGGAGCCTGGACACCGTACTACTGTATGAATAATTTCCTGAGCCCAGTGCTGAACGATGGGTCTGGAGAGGTCAGGGGAAGGCACCTTCTAATCTCAGGGTGCAGGCAGCTCCCCACGACTGGGCCACAAGGGAAGCAGCAGAGCAGGCTTAGGCTGGCTGCCTAGGCTGCGGCAGAAGCGGCTGAAACAACGCAATGCCCGAGGGTGACAGTCCCTGGATGCCCCGTGTGGCCCGCCACAGGAGAGGGGACGAGTCTATGGGCACCTGAGAGGCACTCGGCTCACCTGTACACCGGGGCTGGCTGACAAACTGGACACACGCTCCCGTCCCTGCTGGCCTCCAGCACCGAGTCGGGGAGCCACACGGCCAGTCGGCATTCTGGGAAACCTGTGCAGCCAAGGTAGAAGCTGGGGAGCAGGGGAGGCTGGGTCAGACCGCGGGAGTACGGGAGCCGCACGGCGCCCGTTACCAGCCTGGCAGGAAACCTTTCTAGCTGACTGAAGAGGTCTTCATTTTTTTGGGAGTCACTTAATGGACAGTCACTGGTGTTAAAGAACTTAGAAAAACTAGGCCGCATTTACTTCTCACATCCCTGAGAAACGAAGCAGCTACTGCCGACCCTGCTTCCCACTTTGAAAGCCACCACCACCCAAGGTCAGTCACGTACTATGCACGCGCTCACAGTCTCACTTCTCGCGCGGCACAGTGCAGGGCTGTGCTCTGGGGCTTGTCTGTCCACGAGTAAACTGAAGCTTGGGATGGCGTCACGTCCCCCAGGACACAAGGACAGTGAGTGGGAGCCAGGGCTGGAGAGCCATCGGGTCTGAGGCAAGCACCTGGCCCACACATACACACCCGCCTTCCCGGGACAACATTTCTCGACACCTTCTATTCAGGAAACCTGAGGTCTGACTAGTGAACCTCTGAGTGTATCTAAGGATGGTCAGGCAGACAGCACCCTAAACGCCAATTATTTAAATGGACAGTTCACCAACTCAAATGGGAATTATCAGACAAACTCTGGAACAGTAAACCCTGAGAAAATTTCTGGATTGCCCTGCATGCCTCCAAGAAGCATTCTGTCAAGAATCCTGAGATTAAAAGACATTTTTCTCCCTTATATCCCAATAACTACTAATCTGGTACTTTTTTTTTTTTTCTTTTTGTTCTTTTTGAGACAGGGTCTCACTATGCAGTTCAGGCGGGCCTTGAGCTCACTTTGTAGCCCAGGCTGGTCTTGAACTCGCAACGATCTTCCTGCCTCAGCCTCCCAAGTGCTAGGATTACAGGCGTTCGCCACCACACCTGACTGACTACTAATATGACTATCTATCAGGCAAAGAAAAGACTATCAGAAGCATTTATTAAGCATTAAAGTACTTGCGCAGCACTAGGCTGAGCCTTGAGTGGCACCAGCTTCCACCTGCTCCCAGCTGTGGTTCCACACATCTCTAGTGTCTGAGAGACAGGGAGGACCTCACTTCCCCAGGGTCACCCAGGCCACTGAGAACTGGGCAGGGAGGAGCTGGGAGGGCCACCTTCCTCATTTAATAGCAAGAAAGCAGCAATGCTACAGCCCACGGTGGGCAGTGTGGAGGAAAGCAGCAAGGACCTGGGTGCAGATTTTGCCCCGACTGTTCATTACCGCAGCCTACTCAGAACCAGTTCCTCAGCCCTCTTGAGTTCCATTTTCACTTTTTTTGGAAAGTACTGGGGAAGGAACCCAGGGTCTTCACACTGAACCACAATAAATATTCTATTTATCTTGAGATAGTGTCTGGCTAAGTCACTAAACTGCCCAGGCTGGGCCTGAACTTGTGATTCTCCTCACTCAGTTTCCCACAGTGACTGGCTGTCACTCTTTAAAACACCTTCCTTGCCTGACATGGTAGTGCACAGCTGTAATCTCAGCATTTTTTTTTTTTTTGTCTTTTGAGAGAGGGTCTTAATATGTAGTTCAGGCTGGCCTTGAGCTCACTTTGTATCCCAGGCTGGCCTTTAACTCGCAACGATCCTCCTGCCTCAGCCTCCCGAGTGCTGGGATTACAGGCATGTGCCACCACAACCGGCATTCCCAGCACTTAGGAGCCTGAGGCAAGAGGATGGCCGTGAGTTCAAGGCCAGCCTGGACTACGTAGTGAGTTCAAAGTTCAAGGCCAGCCTGAACTATAAAGCAAGACCCTGTCTCAAAAACCCGCCAACCAACCAACCTTCCTTCCTGGCAAGGGAGGGTTATGAAGACCCAGTTAAACAATGTCTGCAGAACACCCTGCATCACATCAGCCTGAAGAAAGGCACAGGAGGTGAGGCTGCCTCTGCTTTTCAGCACTTCTTGCCCAAGAGCTTCCTGCGGTGGCCAGCTGTTGGTCTGGACAGCTGGGTCAGAACAGGCAACCTGATTCTAGGAGTAAATTGCCCACTGATGTACCAGGCAATAAGTATCTTATAGTCCTGCCCTTTTCAAATTCCTGCCCTTAACACAGATTTGTGAAGCAGATACTGCTGACCTTATGGAAAAACAAATGGCATCAGAATAGTCAAGTAACTTGCTTCAGGTCATAAGCTTACATGTAGCAGAACTGGGATGTGAACTGGGACGTATCTGGATCTGAAGCCCGAACTCCTCCGCTTGCTACATGCTTGCTGGGTAAATGTCACGCCAATGTAGAGGACCGAAACTACACTACTTCTCCGTCTCCCACTCACGGTGTTCCCAGAGCACTTTACACCCAGACCCCACTCCACTGTCCTGCTAGCTCTAGCACTTGCTCAGGGACCCACAGCAGGCCTGCTTTTCAATCATGACTTGGACACAAAGTGACAGGGCTTGCACAGCTGGCTGGCCACTACTGCAGGTGCTGCAAACACAGCAGGGGCAGAGGCAGGACACTGACCCACCACTCTTCTTGGTCTTCAGGACCATGTCTTTGTGGCACTGCGGGCACTTCCGCACGGGCTCTGGCATGGCTGGGTAGACCTCTTCTTGCTGGGGTGTCTCTGCACCTTCCCCAAAGTACTGGGACAAGGCCTCGTCCAACCTGAAGGAAAGCAAAGACACACAACAGCTGGCAATCACTGCAAAGGCATTTATGAGACTTGTATGTGTTCGTAACACACGCAGCAAGGAACCAGCTGATCTGATGCAGAGAAGACAAGGCAGAGGGGAGACCCGGTTCACAAACCTGGCTCCTCCCAGATTCCTGGCTCCTCGAAGGAATCTAGCTACAGACTCACGCACAAGAAACTATACTGGGTTCATGTATAAACTCTAGACGTGTCTATTACCATTTGATACTAGCTCGGGCATTTCTTTTCAAAATTGGCAGCACGCAGCTGTCAATAAAAACCCCCACAAAACTCTCACCCTCTACACAGATAAAGATGTGTGGGAGTCCCCCCCCACGCCATGCAACTGTCCAACTGGTTGTCCTCAAATTCAGTTCAAACACGATCTATTTGGAATTAGTGTCAGACCTTGTTATGGTTTATACCTAGACGTTACCCCAAAGCCGCATGTGCTCGAAGGCGGGTCTCCTGGACAGGTGACCAGACTTTGGAATCGGTATGGCTTAGCTGCCCTTAGAGGGCAGGTTCCGGCCGGAAGAGGCGGGTCGCTGTGGGCAGGACCCACAGGAGTGCATTTTTGTTCCCAGCTCTTCCCTTGACGCTCTCTGCTCCCATCTCCCATGCTGTGAGCAGCTTTCCTCCATCCTCCTCCTCCACGTCCTCCCACCCTAGAGCCAGCTGACTGCCCACACAAATGTGAGCCGAACCACGCCTACTTTAAGTCGCAGGTGTTGGGTATTTTGCCTCAGCACTGAGAAAGTGACTTAAGAACTCAAAGGTTGAGGGCTCAGTCCCCAAGACCGCCTGAATTGCAGAGGCCAGTGGCAACTTCCAAACTGTGAAGTACGCCTCTGACTAACCGGCTGTACACTGGGCTGCCCGTGAGCCCCTGCTCAGGTTCACTTTGCTAGAGCAGCTTACAGAACTCAGATGAACAGCTAGATGGAAGACAGGCACGGGGCAAGGAACATAGAAGGGATGTGAGGTTTCCGTGCCGTTTCTGTGTGCCGACTTCCAGGACCTCCACACTTAGCCACTGAAAAACTCTTGGAACAGTGCTTCTTGGGTTTTATGGAACTTTCATTACATAGACATGATTGATAAATTGTTGACCAAGTGATCACCTCAAACTTTCAGCACTGTCTACCCTCCCTAGAGGTGTAAGGGGGGGGGTGGGGATAGAGGGGTAAAGCTGAAAGCTCCAATTTGTAATCATATAGTTGGTTCCCCTGGCAACAAGGCCCCCAACCAGGGGCTGTCAGGTATCTGCCTCTCTGCCAGTCATATGACTAGTAAACAAGACATTCAGCACTCTGGAGACGCCAAGGGTTTTAGGACCTGTGGGGCCAGGAAATGAGGACCAAACATATATACCTGCACACATATATGTACATATATAGGTATACAGATAGATATATCTGTTTGTGGTTTTTTTAAAAACTTTTTATTTTTTTGGTACCAGGAATTGAACTCTGGATCTTGCACTTGCCAGGGAGCAAATGACACTGTTATATTCCCTGGCCCCAGATATATGTGTTATAAATTACAGTATCACAAGTAGAAAATGTACTATATTTCTAAGTAAGAAAACAGACACACACTGCTTGCTAAATGGCCAACACCATTTATGCATTCATTTATTTATTTTGTGGTATTCGGGATCGAACCCAGGGCCTTCATACTGAGCTACATCCCAAGCCCTTATCTATCTATCTACCTGTCTGTCTGTCTGTCTGTCTATCTATCTGTCTTTTTGAGACAGGATCTATCTATCTATCTATCTATCTATCTATCTATCTATCTATCTATCTATCTATCTATCTATCTTTTTGAGACAGGGTCTTGTTATGCAGTTCAGACTGGCCTTGAGCTCACTTTGTAGCCCAGGCTGGTCTTGAACTCAATGATCCCCTCCTGCCTCAGCCTCCCGAGTGCTGGGATTACAGGCGTGCGCCACCATGCCCGGCCCTCCTTTATTCTGAAACATGGGTCTAAGTCACTAGAGTGCTAAGACTGGGCTTGATCCACCTGCCTTAGCCTTCCAAAGTACTGGGATTACAGGTGTGTGTCACTACACTGGCTTAAGCAGATAACTCTAAATGCTCCAAATAATAAATAGATCAGATACCAGCACTTGGATTTTTGGATTTACTGATTTAAAAGACTGTACGCTTGGGTACAGCGGCACATGCCTATAATCCCAGCTACTTGGAATGCCAAGGCAGGAGGATGACAAGTTTGAGGGCAGTCTGGAAGTTACCAAGAGCTTGCCTCAAAGGTAGAGCACCTGCCTAGCATCAGCAAGGCCCTGGGTTCAATTCCCACCAGGGGCCTTCACACTGAGTTTCACACCTGTAATCCCAGCACTCTGGGAGGTTGAGGCAAGATGACTGTAAGTTTGAGCCTAGCCTGAGCAACTTGGTGAGATCCTGTCTCAAAATTTTAAAATAAATTTAAAAATTTAAAAAATTAAAAAGAATTAATTGGGGCAGATTGTTTTGATCATTTCAGAGGCAGAAAATCCACAGGAGCAGAGGCTGTGTGGCCAGCTGCCCCACCAGTTAACGAGGCCACTGGTGAAGAAAACCCCGCAGGGTTAGTACCCCAGCCCCTTGTTTCTGCTGAACTGCCTCCAGGAACGCTCACCATTCGTGGGAATCGCTATCACCAATGCCTGGGGCCACAGGACCTCTGGGGGGAGAGCAGAGTATGGTACTCACTTCTTCGCCTTAGCCACTGCTTCAGTGAAAACCTGTTTATACTTCTGCACCTGCTGCCTCAGAACCACAGCCTTGTCCTTCTTGCCCTCACAGATCAATTTCAGGTCAGCTTCCAGCTCGGCCCGGAGGTCAGGCTTGGACATCTCATAGCCCATGGAATCGTAACCTGCAGGAGACAGCAGCGCCGTGAGGTTCCACACGATACCCTCAGGGCTTGGGCAAGCTCCCTCCTCCTTTACCTTCCACTAGTCCCATGCCTAGGTGTCCAGGGAGGAACCGCTTGTCGGAGGTGAGCCCAACGTACATCCGGGCTTTGATGGTCTCAATGTGCTCCGCGTGAGTGGCATCAGTACCTGGAAACCATTTCCTGGTTACTTTGAGGCAGCACAAACAGCTGTACCCACACGGGGTACCTTGTTGGTACCTTGATCCCCTTGGACCCCACTTCTCCTTTAGCAGCCAGTGAAGGTGAGATGCCCCTATTCACATCTAGCTCAGGCTATAAACTATAGTGGCAACCCCAACTGTCCTGGTCCCTTCTACCCAATGACTTATCCTGTCAATTCCAGCTTTGCAACTCCTGTGAAGTCAAGACCCAACGCTACAACCCACCTCACCTCAACGTCCTCGTATCTGCCCCTTTCTAGCCTCTTTTTCCACTTAACTTCGCCTAGGCTGTGGCCGAAGGGACCTTTTCAAATGCAGCTATGCTGTTAGGGAAATGCAAACCGATAACCCAGTGGAATACCATTTCATACTGCCCTGTGTGGATGTAAGAAAGTGGAATCTTGTACATTGCTGGCGGGAATGTAAAATGGGGAATCACTTTGGAAAGTTTGGTGGTTCTTCAAAAAGTGACCCAACAATCTCACTCCTAGTTATATCCAAAGAGAACGCAAAACACATAAATGCAAAAACTTGTACGTGACTATTCAGAGCATTATTCACAATAGCTCCAAAGCAGAGACAACCCAAGTGTCCACCAACTGATGAATAAATAAATTAAATGTGGTCGCTATATGCAATAAAAACTCAAATAATAATAAAGAATGAAGTTCTGATACAGGTCAACAAAGACGAACCTAGAGAACACTACGCTAAGTCAAGGAAATCACTTACTGAAGACTGCATACTGTATGAGTCCTTTTACGTGAAAGGTCTAAAGTAGGCACATCTATTGAGTCCGAAAGACTGGCGGTTGCCTAAGGCTGGGGGACAGGGTTAGAAGGGGTACTTGGTTTCTTTTTGAGACAATGAAAATGCTCTAAAACTGACTAGTGATGGATGCGCTACACTGTAAATGCACTAAAAGCACTGAGTCGGGGGCTGGGGTGTGTATGCCTGACCAGGATGTGTGGCGTCCTAGGTTCCATCCTCAGCACTGAAAAACAACAACAAAACACAGAACTGTGCATTGTGCTGTGTATCTGGAGTGCTGGGAATGGAACCCAAGGCCTGTGCATACCAGGCAGGCTCTCTACCACTGACCCACGCCCCCAGCTCTGAATTATATACAAATCGTGTCCCAAAAAACCTCTTAAAATTATTTGTTAACTACTTAGCTCTGTATGGCGACTTTCTAAATCTTAGCCAGCTCCTGCTCACCACGTGCCAACCTTACACCCCTCAGCGGGGCACACCAGGCCCTGACAGTTGGTTCACACCATCTCTCAGCTTCACCTTCTATGATCATCCCCAACCCTCCACCCGCCTCCGCAGCCATAGCAAGCTTGTGCTTTCCTGTTCTCATGTCCTTCTCAAATCCTGCCACGGCTGGGCTTGCCTTTGCCTGCTCCTACGGAATCCATCCCTTGTGGTGGCTTGCTTTGGTTTTTCTGATAGACTGAGTCCTTAAAGGCAAAGATCAGGTCTTAATTCTCTTTGTGACCCTAGTGCCTGCCACTCACACCCGCTGTTCCTCAAGAATTCCTGTCGGGAACTTCAGGAGTGTCCCGTCTGAGCCTCGAGTCACAGGAAACGTCTCATTATAAGGGTGGCTGCGGGGTTTAGGAACACTGGCTGAGACCGAGGGGTAGCACTCTCCTAGTGTGCACAAGGCCTTCAGTTTGATGCCCATCGAGGAAAAGACGAAAACTGATAACTCAGTAGAGTTACTACATTGCCAGGCTGAGTAAGAATCTCAAAAAGCGAAACAAACGAACAGCCTACTGGCTGGAGAGTTATTTGGGCCAGATTTTTGTAACATACGACCTTTGCAACCTTCCGTAAGCTCATAACCCCTCCGGGCCTCACTCAAACTGAGGTAGGAATAAGAGCCTGAGGGCCACGGGCTCTCCAGATGACCTACTGACCAATGCCGTGTTTCTCCATGAGGGCGATGAGGTCGGCCTCGGTGAGCAGCTGTGGCGGGCTGGTCTCCCCATCTAGCATCTCTACAGTGCTGGGCTGAAAGTGGGAGCCTTCCTCATAGACGGGGAGGAGCTACAGAGAGCAGCAGGAGTGGAGGTCAGATCACTGTTACCAGACTCAGCTGCTGCTCCATCAGCCAGCCAGGGGTCAGAGCGTAGCAGTTCCCCCTTCTGGGGCCCTCCTCATTACCTTGTCGCTCCAGTGATCATAGGGATACACATCCAGGTAGTTTCGAGCTAGAATCATGAGGCCATGGGCCACAAAGCGCTCCTGAGCAATGTCGATCTCCACAGTTGTCTCCTGACCCTGAGCGTCTTGGGAGCAGCAAGCTAGGAAATGACGAACAATGAACTCATACAGTCGCCGTTCATCTCCCTAAAGGAAAGGACAAAGTCTGAATCCTTCGAGAATAGCACCGACAAAGGACACCAGTGGCACTGGTGGTGTCAGCCTGGCTAACGCCACTGTCAGCCCAAATTCTGCACAGAACGGGGTACATGGCTGCACGGGTCCTGCATCAAGTGGGTCCTTGGGGAGCTCACAGGGTTTGGCTGATACACCTCACAACTCTAATCAGGCTAAAGGTAAGTAAGGGGCTGGGGATATAGCTCAGCAGCACAAGCGCCTGCCTAGCAAGTGCAAGGTCCTGAGTTCGATCCCCGGTACCAAAGAAATTAACAATAAATAAAAGTAAGTAAGGGAATCACTGTCCTCTCCAGTTTAGGAAGGTGTTCTTGATAAAAATCAATCTAAACAGAAATAAGACAAAGGCATAGGGAACTAGCAAGAGATTCCTGAATATAAGATTCACAGAGTAACACTATCTGACAGCCCTAGGCCCACTTTACCTATGCACTTAAGCAGTGACTTCTTAGGGTGAATTTCCATCAATGAGCTCAATCTATCAAAAGACCAAGGGACATTTACACTCATGTATTTAATAATTCTTCTAAGAATTCATTCAAAAGAAATTAACTGGAGACCGACACAAAAGTTATTAGCTATAGTAGATCACATTTCGAAAAGTTGGAAACAGCCCGGTGTGGCAGGGCATGCCTATAATCCTACCACTTGGGAGGCTGAGGCAGGAGGACTGACTCAAGTCTGAGGCCAGCCCGGGCTAGACAGTCAGGTCAAGGCCAGCCTGAACAACATAGTAAGACAGTCTCAAAAACCCAGGAAAAAAAAAGGAAACAATTTAAACGTACATAAATAGATTTGGCAAAATAAATTAAGGTATACCAATGTGACTGTTAGGTTTATTTTTTGGTAACACTGGGTAACTCCAGGGCCGTCACACTGAGCTATATCCCTAGCTCCTTTTTTAAAATTTTTTTAAAATTTTTTTAGCTCCTTTTTTTAAAAGATCGAGACAGGATCTCACTCAGTTACTACACTGCCCAGGCTGAGTTCAAATTGCCTCGACCTCCAAAAGCACTGGGATTACAGGCGTTACATACCTTTACATATCGCAGCAAATGGGGAAATACCCAAATACAGTGTTAAAAAGTTTTTACAGAGCTATCTGAGGTTAGTTCTACTATAAGAATATGACAATAAGGGGAGGGACTACAGGCATTTTTTTCTTATAATCGTCTGTATTTGTGTGTGTGTGTGTGTGTGTGTGTCTTTTTTTGAGACAGGGTCTCGCTGTGCAGTTCAGGCTGGCCTTGAGCTCACTTTGTAGCCCAGGCTGGTCTAGAACTTGCAACGATCCTCCTGCCTCAGCCTCCCAAGTGCTGGGATTACAGCCATGCGCCACCACACCCGGCTAACCTTCTGTATTTTTCAAACTGTCTAGAATAAAGATGTGGTACATTTTAAATGAAAAGAATAGTAATTACAAGACGACCAACGTTTACTTAGCTGTTGACGGTAAACAGGCCTGAGCAGCTCTGTCAGCACCGCACTCACTCCCTGACCAGGGAAACAGTCAAAGCCAGGTGGAGCTCAGTGTGAGCGCTGTGCTGACAGCAGGCTAACGCGAAAGGCTCCAGAAGGGGAGGCTGAGAACCCGTCGAGCCTTGGAGGGAGGACAGTTAGGCTTTCACCAGGTAGCAAAGGACTAGGAAGGCCACGAGGCTTGCTGTGGGTGTGGAGAGTGTGCAAAAGCCTGGGAAGGTGAGCTGGTACATCTGCGGGGAACTAGTAAGGAAGCGGCAGAGCTGACCGAGAGCAGAGCCGCCAGTAGGGGACCTTTCACGAAAGCCAGGCAAAAGACTATGAAGTACAATTCTAGTACTGACCTCTCTCTTTTGAGATGGACTAGGTATTTCAAAATCGCTTATTTCCTAACATCAGGGCCTGCAGAACAAATTCAAATCCTACTACCGACTCCTCAGCACCCGTCTCTGGGTTTCAGCAGGCTGCACACTCAGGGACACCAACCTGCAAGTTGCTGGTATATTTGGTGGGGTGAATGGGAGGGTGAGCTTGGTCAGACTTATTTCCATTGCGTGGAGTGGGGCCACCCCTTTCTAGAATGTTCTGGGCAAAGGCCCCCCAGTGTGGATCCTGCGTCTGCTGTTCCACCAACGCCATCAGGTTTAAGTCTCTGGGGAAAATGTTTGTCTCTGTTCGGGGATAGCTGATATACCTAAAAGAAAGGAAACAAAAAGAAAAAATGCTAAAAAAATTTCTCTGGTTTTATTTTCTTATTTTTTTTGTCTTTTTGAGACAGGGTCTCGCTATGCAGTTCCGGCTGCCCTTGAGCTCACTTTGTAGCCCAGGCTGGTGTTGAACTCGCAACGATCCTCCTGCCTCAGCTTCCCAAGTGCTGAGATTACAGGTGTGCACCACCACGCCCAGCTCTGTCTGGTCTTTAAAAATTGAAATCCTCAGATAACACCTGCAATCATTCATCTGACAGCCAGCTCAAAAGAAAAGTAGCTAGGGGACCCACATTGACAAAAGGTTTAAGACAGGATTCCCTCAGGAGTGAAAAGCAACAAGTTCTCCTGCACAGATACTTCGAGAAGTCAAAGGACAGAGGAAACAGCATGGTAGAAGAGGAGGCCCTCTACAGCAATACTGTGTGTAGCCGTGGACATGTACTAGCCTCTCTTAGAGTTAAACTAACACAACGACCCTGTGCGGTGCATTAGCCTTGCTAGTCCTGATGGTTCCCAGTGTGTACGCCTGTAACTTTTCTTGAAGGACACAAAGAACGATGCTGTCCAATAAAACTGTAATGTGGATTCTGTAACTGTGAATTTTCTGCTGTTACTTAAAAATTGTGGAAGCTGGGTATGGTGGTACGTGCCTATAATCCCAGTATTCTGGGAAGTTTGAGGGCAAGCTGGGCAACTTAGTAAGACCCTGTCTCAAAATGAAAAATATAGGGCTGGGGATGCAGCTCAGAGCAACAGCCCTGGGTTGAATTCCTAGTATTTAAAAAAAAAAGTTACTGAGATAGATTAGCGGCAGAGTGCTGGCCTAGAACGTGTTTGGCCCTGGATTTGGTCCCTACTTCTGCAAAAAAAGTTAAAAAAAAAAAAAATTACTGATAGTTTCTATCTTATTTTCACACAAATCTTCAAAATCCAGGGTTTATTTTACATTTATAACACATCTTGATTATGACAACTAAAATTTCAAGTGCTCAACAATCACATGCTGGACACCACAGTTAGGGAGCCTCAGTGCTGGGGTACTTACCACGGCCAAGGGAGGGATGACTTTCACAGGCACACAGCTTATAAAGGTGCCATTTGCTGTTGGTTTGTCTCCAGCCAGGGCGCTAGGGGGAGTCGCTAAGGGGTCAAGAGTAGGACTGTGGACTGGAGTATAGCTCAATGATAAAAAGTGTGTGCATAGCATGTACAATCTCAAGTACTGAGATAATATTTACCCTTTTTTTCTGTTTTGTTTTTTTGTTTGTTTGTTTTTTTCTGGTACCAGGAATTGAACTCACAACCTTGCACTTGCCAGGCAGGCACTGTGCTGCTCAGCTAAATCCCCAGCCCCAATACTTACCCTTGAGTGTAGAGTTTTTCAGCAATTCTCATAGTTTCTTTAGCATTTATTCTCAACTTTCGAGAAGCCAGTTTCTCCAGCTCCTGTTAAGAGAGTCAAAAGGCCTGTTAAGGTACAGGTGAGTTGGGGGCCACACAGCTACACAGACATCTTCCGCGGTCTGGCCTGGCATCCTACCTGCTGTCCTCATGCTGAGAAGGAAAGACTGTGCTCGAGGAGGATTTCTGCGCCCGGTGGGCAAATGCCAGCCAGGGGTTCTCAGACACTGATGCGTAGCCCTGAGATTAAGCTGGGGAGCCAGCAGATTTATGGGCCCAGTTTATGGGCGAATACGACAGGGTAGGACTGGGACGCAGGGTGACACCTGCGTTTTTCATATGCAGTCTAACACACAGATGCTAACGCAGACAGTTTGAGAACTACACTTTGGGGGTACCACTCAAGTCCTAAGAAATTTCCCTGGATGAGGAAAAGCATCCTGTGAAGCCTCCTAGGGAATAACTAGCTGCTCTTTACCCTATGTCACACTCCAACAAGGCTGCCAACCACATGTGGAAGCATATTTAACTAGTGAGAAATAAAATGCACGTTGTGCTGGGGGGTGATAAGTTCAGTGGCAGAGCGCTTGCACGGAAAAAAACAAGCTACTCTAAACACAATGCTGATAAAATATACATATTAAAGAAAATAGGAGCCAGGTGTTGTGATGGATGCACTCCTGTGATCCTAGCTGGGAGGCTCAGGCAGGAGGAGTGAGAGTTTGAACCCTACTTGGGCCACTCACTGAGTCTACAAATAAAGAAAAATACACAAAGAAAGAGAGCTCAGTGTAAAGTTCAATCCCAGCACTGTGGGGAAAAAAAAGGTATCAAAATGATGTCAGTGATTATATAAAGGTAGAAAGATTACAGATCTTTTCCACTGCTTTCCAGTGACACTGCCTTTGCTAACTTTAATTGCTTTTGGTGGCAGTGGTACTACTGACTGTATCTGTTAACTTTGAAGTTAAAAAAAGAAACAACAAACATTGAGAGGTCAGGCAGTCCATGCCTTCCTTGAGTGCTTTGTGTAAGTAAAACCCCAGCCCCAGCGACAGGAAGTAATTGTTCCCTAGTGCCTGGAACAGTCTACCTAGAACATACCACAGTGTCCAAAGCTTGAGGCCTCCACTTGCTCTTTGGCTTTGACCTGACTTCCACCACGGTTGCCATGGGGTCCTACAAGACCAGGAACACAAAGAACACATTAACTGGGGAGAGCGTCACCTCTAACCTGGTGTAGCAGCCTCCGTCCACTGTTTCAGACCACACGACTGCTAGCGGAGATCAGAGCCCTCAGCCTGGCGGGGTCCCACTGAAAATCATTTGTAACAGGCAGTGCGGTACAGCACATCGCCCTCTTCTCACTCCAACTACGACTCTGAAGGTCAGTTTTACAAACCTTAAGTTGCCTGTTCCGGAACCAATGGAATACTACAGTCTCTGCATCTCTTCAGTTTTCTATGTAAACATTTCAGAATAAAAATATGAAAAACTGGGCTGGGGATTTAGCTCAGCGGCACAGTGCCTGCCTGGCAAGCACGAGGTTGTGAGTTCGATTCCTTGTACTGGAAAAAAAAAATTATACAATCTGGGAAAATTAATCTTAAAACCTTGTATTTTAAAAAGATAAAAAGCTTAAGTGATTTGCTAATGAGAGTATCTGTATCTCATAATCCAAGTTTCTCCTTTCCAATAGACTGGGGAACAAGTTGCTCTTTCCAAGGAGTTAAAAGTACACCACCAGCCATGTATTCCTGCCCCACATCCTGGTTGTGGTTGGTTGCTTGGTTGACTGACCGACTGACTGATTTTAAGGTCTTTTTATTTAACAGATAAACATGCAGTGTCCCAGAGACTCTTGGACTCCAGGTGGTGTAGGGTCAGAGGGTACAGTGGCAGACAGATACGGTGACTCCTAGGAAGTGATGGACTCTACAGCAGGAGCACAGACGTCCTGGGATTTTACCTAGTGGTCAGTGCTCCATCTCCCAATAGCTGTAGGATATCTGTGAATTATTTTACTTTCTCAGGTTCCTATTCTGAAATAGCACAGTTTCACTGCCTTCATGGGATTATTAGAATGAAACAAAGTAACATTTAATAAAGTGGCACACAGCAGGTGCTTAATAGTTTTTACTTTCTCCCCCCAAAGTAGTCATAAACCTGCCAGAGCATACCACAAATTATCAAACCTAGAGCTCTGTGGATCTTACTTAGACTCCACTGTATGCAGCCCCAGGTTAAACCAGGCGATTAGGTTCGGATGTATTGGAAGTGGCAGCACACAGTGGGTCGCTGGCCTGAGAGTCAGATACGTGAAGCCGAGGTCCTAACTCTGCCGCTGACGGGCCTGCGGCCTGAGCTGATCGCGGCCCTTTGCACGTGCTGCTCTAAAGGACATGCTCTCCCCGCCCAAATGTCATCCTAACGGGCCCCATAAAACCACTTCATCTGTGAAGTCCACATCCTGCCCCCATGCCATCCTCTACTCCTCTATCTTGCTTTTCATCCTTGCATTTATGAAATGAACTTTGGTTGGACCAGATGCCCTTTGGAGCTCGAGGAGTTTGTGGTCTACATGGGTCTAGCTGACCCTTCCTAATTTATGGCAACAACATATGCCTCAGGAAGGGCTCACCACCTCTCAAAATTTCTGCTTGTACCTAAGAGTTCTGGGGATTCTTCCTTTATGTATTTTTGTGCTATTTGCATGAAGTTTTAGTCTTGCTGGTCCCCAAAAAGTGATGCCCTGAGATGCAAACTAAAAGCCAATAGACTTCAGTGGGAGACTAGGATAGGGTCACCTCTGCCAGCAGAGAGGGCGTGGCTGGGGAAGACACAGAATGTCTTCCAGGTCAAGAAGCTCTCGAAGGACTCCTTACCTCCATACACAACTGGTAGAGGACAAGACAAGCTGTGTGGTTGAAGAGACGATGCCTTTTCCAGTTGAAATCTACAACACCATCTTCGTGGTCGTGAGTTACTATGTTGGGGAGAGACAAACAGAAAGGCTGTCTCAGAGAAGCCACATGATGCAGACAGAAAAAGGCAGCACAGTGAAAATCAAAGGAATCTGAAATAGGGTAAGAGTTACGGTTAGCTACGAGAAACTGAAGTAGATTCTCAGCATTACAATGGAGCAGGCTGAAGAGGAGCAAGGTAAAGAAAAGAGTCACACATTTAATCAGTGTTATTAACGCTTACAGCCCCTGTTACCCTTGGGTCTGGAGGCCCGACACCAACAATCTCCAGCCTCACCTTTGATTCTGTGGAAGACTTCTGGCACAAAGGCCTGAATGGCTTTGAACCTTTCCACCACAAAGCCCAGGGTGGGGAACTGGCAGCTGCCATAGCTGATAAGCTGCTCGGCCAGCACTTCAGGAAAAACCTTCTGGAGCCGCAGCGTCTGGAACCGAGTGAAGGCAGCTCCTGGAAAGTGGTAAGGGTGGGGAGAGGGAAAGAAGGAGAAAGTGACAAATGCTGAGGTCACTTCTGGTTCTACAACCCAACACCAACAGGCTACATGGGCGTGGCGGGGCATGTCCAGCGCCTCACCGATCCGCAGGTCCAGCTCCTGCCTTACATCCACAGCATCACTGACTCTCTGATCTGGCTCGGTCAGGTTTTCACAGGCTGTCCGGACAGCGCGGGGAGTGATCTCAGAGAACCGGGCTCTTAACACCTGCAGACTGGGCTTCACTGCAGAACACAAAGGGTCAGAGGTCAAAGCTGGTCACACTGCACTCTCAGCACAAAAGTCTTTCTTTGCCTAAACTACTTCAACATACAGGCAAACAAGTTCAAGAACCCGTGAGGCATCCACATCAACTATCAGTCTGGATTAATGGATGGTGTAAAATGTCAAAAAGGAAAACATCACTGCAACTTCTAACCCGAGTGTTGTCTCAAATAATGAAGTCAATTTTAGTCAGTAACTAACGTTCTCTAGGTGAGCCTTTTATCTTACTTGCTCTCAGCCCTTTACAGAGAAGACAAATCTTGTCAATCAAAGGGTTTTGTGGGGAATTTCATGTTCCTTCAGGAACGAATATAGGACATATACCCTGTCCTTGAAAGTTGATGCATTTAGCCAGGCATGGTGGTGCATGCCTGTAATCCCAGCACTTGGGAGATAGGAGGACTGCCTCAAGGTCAAGGCCAGCTTAGGCTACATAGTGAGTTCAAAGGTAGCCTAAACATGAGCAAGACCCTTTCTCAAAAAAAAAAAAAAAAAAAAGAAAGTTGCTGTATTTAAATTGCTAGGAGCCATTACAGTTTCTCAGTACAAAACCACTTTGGGAAATCAGCGACCCTACCACCTGAGCCAAAGAGTGGCCTGTTCTCTACTTCCTCTAAGTTATCAGGAAGCATCACATTCTTAGAGCCATTCAAATTTAAACCAACATTCATTCACTCATTTGTTCATTTATTGAGGTGCTGTGGATCAAACCCAGGGGCTTGTACGTGGTGGGCAAGTGTTCTACAACTGAGTCACACCTAGGCCAACAATTATTTATTAACAAGCATTATACAAAGCATACAGGTGACGAAAAAACAGAATACTTTAGAATTTCTTTGTACTTATGGGATATACATTCTTTTGCATATATTTAGTATATAATTTTTTTTTTTTTTTTTGAGACAGGGTCTCACTATGCAGTTCAAACTAGTCTTGAGCTCACTTTGTAGCCCAGGCTGGTCTCGATCTTGCAACGATCCTCCTGCCTCAGCCTCCCAACTGCTGGGATTATAGGTGTGTGCCACCGTGCCCGGCTTATAATTTTAAAAATATATACTTAAAAAATATATTGTTGACTCACTTAAGCCTCCTGGTAGTCCAAGGAAGCACATCAGACTGGCCTGACAGCTGATGAAGATGAGGCTATAAAGAACTCGGCCACAAAACACTGCACAGATATGCAGCAGAAGCACTACTTCTGGGTTCCCAAGAGAGACGCACAGGGACGGCAGCACTTACCTGCCTTGCACACATGGATGATCTCAAACCCGATGTTTTCACCTTCTCTGTCACAGTCAGTCCAGATCACCAGGGCCTGGCACTGTCGTGTCTCTCGTTCCAGAGTTTTCTGAAGTTAATGAGGGGAGAACGTTGAGAGTAGAGTCCACAGCAATTTTTGGACACTTCTACACTAAAGAGATTTGACTGAGGACTACTGCTGTTATGGAGTGTTTGAACTTTGCGACAGGGAAAAAAGATGAGAGAAAATCGCTCATACCAGCACCAGCGATGGTGTGGTCACTAACAACCCACTAGGCCTGTAAGTGCACGCTGAGAAGACTGACGGTTTAATACAAGTTCACTAATGCGATGAAACTGTAGTTAACCTCTAACACACTTTTATCTCCAGTGGTTCTGATTATTTGCTATTTAAACAACAAAAACCAAAACTCAGAAAACAACTTCCTTGTGTTTCATCTCAGGAAGGGTTCCCGGTTAGCCGTGAACTAAGTACAGGTACCTGAGCTGACGATTTACTATCAAACCACGTGCACTTCATAGTCTCTCCACATGTGTAGGGGTGGAATGGGTGTTAGAATCTACATGTGGGTGTTTCAGTTTCAGTATCTTCCAAGAGATCCTACCTTGATGTCTATAAAATTCTCTGGGCAGTATTTTTCAATTTCTGCTTCAAAGAGGACAAGGGGATTGCAGCTGTGCCTACAAAATAAAAGCACAAAGGTTCTCGTGCCGGCACACGATGGAGCGTCCTCCACTCGCAGGAACGCACTGCTCTAGTGAGCTCGTACGTGGACCCCTAGCAGAAAATGGCTCAGGCGGAGTGGCGCATGCCTGTAATTCCAGCTACCTGGAAGGCTGAGATGGGAGCCTGAGCCCTGGAGTTCAGGAGCAACCTGGGGAGCACAGCAAGACACAGACTCAAAAGGGGGTGGGCTGGGCTGGGGATGCAGCAGTGCCTGCTGGGCAAGTGCAAGGCCCTGAGATCGATTCCTGGTACCAAAAAAAGGGGGGTAGGGGAGGATGGAAAAGATGGAAAAGAGGGGAAGAGAAGGAAAAGGGATAGGACAGGAAGCAAAAAGGGAGAGGAGGGGAAAAGGAAGGAACAGGAAAGTGAAAATGAAAGTGAAAGAGAAAGGCCAAGGCCCAGAAGATTAAAAAAGCAAAGCCGTGATCCTCTACACAGCACAACGTCCTTTCCCCAGCGAAGAGTCACAAGAGCTGCTAAGAAAGCATTTGGAACCCTTTTATGCACGTGTGCAACAGGACAAATGCAGCCCAGCAGCTGCACAAAAGGCGTCTATTTGGGGGGAACACCTAAAGGCGACTGTTTATTCTAAAGAGATGATAAAAATTTACAATAAACCAGACAATCCTAAGTCATCTTGGTACTAGAAGTTACATGGTAACATCCTCATGCTTCAAGATTCCTATAATATTTGTCACAACTTACTGTAATAATCAGACAGCCCTTCCCCTAGGAGCTGTACTGACCATTTTCGAAACGGCATCTGGAAATCATGGGCCAGCAAGTGTCCAGAAACCGAAGTCATTATCATGGTAACATTCTGAATGACAACAAAATTCAAATTAGTCGTTTTGTAATTATACTTTACCAAATCATTCAAATGAAAGGCAGGGACTTCTACTAAAGAAATCATAACATAGTTGATTGGGAATAAACATAAATATAATTCATCAAAGCCAAATCCACAGGCAATCCAGTCACAGCAATTCTACCACTATGGTGCTGCCTTCTGTATCATTTAAAATCTCCTCAGCTGGGCGCGGTGGTGCACACCTATAAACCCAGCACTAGGGAGGCTGAGGCAAGAGATCGAGGATTGCCGTGAGGTCGGGGCCAGCCTGACTACATACACCCTGCCTCAAAAAGAAAAAAACAAACAACTTCAGGGCTTGGGGTGTACCTTGGTGGTACAGTGCCCACCTAACATACACAAGGTCCTGGGTTCCAACCCCAGCACCACACCCACCCACATTCACACACACCCCCCAAAGAGAGAGAGATGTGGGGGGACCACACTTCCCTATAGGTTATAAAATTATCATCTGTACCTGAGGACCTTTATGTAATAGTTATTTTTAAGACAGTGAGATATAATTTATAAAGGATAAGGATGACTAATTGTTCTTGATTAATTCTAAAGCACAAGCAGTTTAGTACAGATTTATAACAAACAGCTGTTCTTTTCACTACAGCTGAACACCCAAGGAATGTACACAGGAACGGCACATGCACACGGATCTGAAAGCACACTTCAGCTTTATGATGGAAATATTTCATCACCTACCTGACCATAGAGATAATAATCAAATTCGTAGATCTTGTTGAATTTAGAAAGCCCTTCTCTCTATAAAACAAAATAAAAATAAGTAAAAAATAAAAATCACATTAAGAAACAAATGACTCTTTAGCATAAAGATCAAGCAAAATCTGGATAAGCGACAGTACTTCCTACAGACAAAACAGTATTTCCCATAGATAAAAAGTGAACTAAATTACTAAAACCAAATATTTACTAAGTGGTCTCTCAAAACACAGTTACCAAGTACAGACTTAATAGAGTTCATGGAGTTTACATGCTCAAACATAAACAAGATCAACTTAATACTAAACATCTTTTTATAGATGAGAATGAAATTGTCCAAGATCACATGGCAAATTCATGGCACTAAATGGCCTTATTCGGACATAAATTCTTTTTTTTTAAAGGACTTATATTCTTGATAATTTGTTTCTTTCTCCCCCGCCACATCTTTGCTAGTTTAAGGTCATACAACCATACCAACAAACTAGTGACCGCAGCCAGCTCATTCACCTTTGAGTTTCAATTTCTTCTTGAAAAGTTATCTCTGTGGTTTTTCTTCTGGCTTGGAAATCCAATGACACTGTAAGCCCAGTCAGAACTAAAATCCAGTCAGAAAAGCACTTCTTTCGCTGCAATTACCAATGAGCAAGACCTTCTGACTAGGTCACACCTTTCCCCTACCAGGCATACAAAGCAGTTGTGCCTGGGAGTTTCAGACCAGCACTGAAGGCAGGACACAAGAAAGGCTCCCTGGGGCCTGGGAAACTTTCAAGAGCCCAGAAGGACTCCTATGAGAAGATTCTCACTCAGCCTCAAAAAGCCTCAGTTTTTCTGTGTGGAACACTGGGTGGCCACTCTTTGAGGTGAAGTGGCTCACCCGCCCCGCGCACATGCCTTTCTTCCTTGCAGTGCTAGGAATTGAACCCAGGAGGGCCTTAAGCATGCTAGGCAAGTGCTCTACCAATGAATCCTCACTGCGCACCCCACCCCCGCCACCTCATAATGGCAGTTATATAGAGGGAAATTATTTTATTATCTGATAAGTAAGCATTCAGTTCGTCCAACGTCACCAAGAAAAGACAATCCTCCTTTACAAATTCCAACTGCTAGTTAAGCCCCGTTAGTAACAGAGAACAGAAAAATCAGGGTGGTGTGGTGGCACACGCCTACAATCCCAGCACTTGGGAGGTTAGGTGCTGTGAGTTTGGGCCAGCCTGGGCTACACAGGAAGACCCTATCTAACAAACAAAGAAGCAATACCTAATAGCTTTTGGCATCTTTTTAAGAAAGCTATGACAGAGGTGCTGTAGCTGCAACAAAGCTGTGCCCTGCTAACTCCACTACTCCCTCATCCAGGATCAAGTGGTCAAGACATAACACAGTCCCATGTTATATCTTGCGGGGTCGGGGGTGCACATTGTGGGAACCACCAGTCCCATCTTCTCCAGGTAGACGGCCTGTAGCAGGTCTGTGACACCAGCTGCAGGGGTCTCCCTAGATAGCCTGTTTCATCAAAAAGCATTTCACACTTGACTCCCTGTAGCTCCCATCTAGTGAGGACTGCACATTCTTACATTCAGTCCTGTATCTTGGGTGAGGTACCCAGGGAAATAGGATGCTCCCAGTTACAGAAGGGTTTTGGAGAAAGAAAACAGCTGACCAATACACCAAGAGTGGAGTTTTACAATTCCAAGTAAATACATCAACCAAATACTATCTTCTCTAAATGCTCTAATAAGAATTGATCATATTACTGCTACTGAACCAACTTCAGAAGTCTCTTTAAGTCTCTTTCTGGGGGCTGGGGATATAGCTCAGTGGCACAAACGCCTGCCTGGCAAGTGCAAGGTCCTGAGTTCGATTCCCGGTACCAAATAAAAATAAAAAACTGAATAAAATAAGACTTCTCTTTCTGAATATACAATGAAAAAAATCCTCAAAGATCTGTAAGTTATCAATTGTAGTCACCATGGGTGGTGGTGGAATGGGAGTGGGGTCAGTTTGATATGTATCTATATTCTTTGAACTATTTGCAATAAATACTAACTGTTGAAAAGAGAAAAAAAAATTATCTTGTTAATCTTGCTCATTTTCTAATGTTGGATGTTTAAAAAAACTATCACAAGGAAGAATCTGTTTTACCATTCCGTTACTAGATACTTGTTATCCAATTTTGGCTGTTATAAAGCTATAATGACCATCGCTTCATTTTTTTTTCCTTTTTGTCTTTTTGAGACAAGGTCTTGCTATGCAGTTCAGGGTCGCCTTGAGCTCACTTTGTAGCCCAGGCTGGTCTCAACTCAAAAGGATCCTCCTGCCTCAGCTTCCCAAGTGCAGGGATTACAGTTGTGTGCCACCATGCCCGGCTCATCACTTCATTTGAATTATATTAAGTCTTAAGTCCTCTATCAGTTTCTTAAAGGCAGAGATAGTGTCATTCAATGCACACTGACTATGTGATTTTCACACAGCAGTTTCTGTTTCAGAGATAAATGAGTAGGACCCAGCCACTGTTCCCAAGGAGATGACATACTTCAGGACAGATGCGCAAACAGCTAAATGACTACATGTGATCACTTGTCATTAAGAGAAGAAACAGAAGGAAATGGGAGGGAGAATACCTTCAAACAACTTCACAGAAAAGGTTACATTTAGGTTGTTTTTTATTTTTTCCTTTAAAATATGAAGAATGGCCTAGGAGGAAAAGGAAAACATTCTAGGAAGAAGCATGGAAATTTGCAAAAGAGTGCAGAATGTTTATCTTTTAAACTCTTCCTCTCTATTCCTGTTTTTATCTAAAGCTACCTAGAGTTCAGGATCCTGACCACTCATAAGAACTCCAATAGCTGTCTCTGGGTCTCTGGCCTTTCACTCTTCAAATCTTCTGCTTCCAGAGTGACTTTATAAAATACAAAGGGCACCTTTACCCTCCACTTAAAAATCTACATGACTTACTTTAACTGATGCAGAAAAAGCATATGACCAAAATTTGGTAAACTTTCCGGATTAGAAAAAAAAAACCTCAACAAATTAAGAACAGAAAGGAACTTCTTCAACAGAATAAAGGAAGTTTACGAAAAGCCCAGAGCTACCATACTTAATGATGAAAGGCTAAAAACTTTTTCTTTTTAAAATCAAGAACACTAGGCAAAAAGTACAAATAAAACCGCCTGTAATCTCAGCACTTAGGAGGAGGCCAAGGCAGAAGGATCACTGTAAATTCAAAGCCAGCCTAAAGTACATAGGTAAAACCAAACCAATCACAATAAAAGACACCAGCACCACCAGCAGTAGGATGGCCATTCTTGCCCCTGCTATTCAACACTACACCAAAAATACCAGTCAGAATGTTTAGGGAAGAAAAAGAAATAAAAGACATCCAAATTGTAAAGAAGTTAAAACTATCTATACTCATAGACATGATTTCAATACAAAGAAAACCCTGAAAAGCCCACAAAGAACTTTTAGTACTAATGCACACAGTCAGCAAAGTTGCAGAATAAAAATTCAACACACAAAAATTAGTGCTTCTAAAAAAAGGAAGTTGTACTTTTATATCCCAGCAATGAGCAATCTGAAAAAGAAACTAAGAAAGCAAGCACATTTATGACATCCAGAACAATAAAATGTTTAGGAATAAACTTTATCAAACAGGTGAAAGACTTACACATTGAAAACTAAGTAAACTTAAAAGATTGCAAACTTCCCCCAAAATGATTTACAGATTCAGCGCAATAATCCTTATTAAAACTCCAATAACATTTTTTTTTTTTAACAGAAATGAGAAAGCTAATTCTAAAATTCACATAGACTCACAGGGGTCCTAATATCCAAAAATGACCCTGATAAAGAACAAAGTGGAGGACTCACACTTCCCAATTTTATTTTATTTTATTTATTTTTAGAGACAGGGTCTCACTATGTAGTTCAGGCTGGCCTTGAACTCACTTACGTAGCCCAGGCGGGCCTCAAACTCACAGTGATCCTCCTGCCTCAGCCTCCTGACTGCTGGGATTACAAGTGTGAGCCACCATGCCCAGCTTACTCACACTTCCCCGTTTTAAAACTTACTACAAAGCTCCAACAATGGGATCTACGGGTGTAATTCAGTAGTAATGCATTTGCCTGGCATATGCAAGGACCTGGGGTAAATACCCAGCAGTGCAAAAAACAAATAAAAAAAAAGTTACAGTAATCAAAATCATGACTAGTATAAGACAGACATAAAGAATGATAGAATGGAACTGAGAATCCAGAAGTAAACCTAAACATTTACACTCAGCTCTTGTTATGTTGCCTAGGCTGGCCTCAGACTCCTGTGCTCAAGTGATCCTCTTGCCTCAGCTTCCCTAGTAGCTGGGATCATAGGTGCAGTAGTGATACATCCAACTATGGTCAACTGATTTTGTTTTGTTTTGTTTTTTGTGGAGCAAACTCAGGGTCTTGTGTGCTGAGTAAGCATTCTCCCTCAGAGCTACAGCTCTAGCCTAGTCAACTGATTTTTTTTTTTTTTTTTTTTTTGACACAGGGTCTCACTGTGCAGTTCAGGCTGGCCTTGAGCTCACTTTGTAGCCCAGGCTGGTCCCGAACTCGCAATGATCCTCCTGCCTCAGCCTCCTGAGTGCTGGGATTGCCGGCATGTGCCACCCCACCGGGCTGATTTTTAACAAAGAGTATCCAACTCCATCCAATGGGCATCCAAAAGACCAGAAGTATTAGCTCATTTCAGCAGATGGTGCCACGACACTGGATCTCCACAAACAAAAATATAAAACTGGATCCAGACATTACACCAAGCAGCAATATTAACTCAAAGTGGATCACAGACCTAAATGTAAGAGCTAAAACTCCAAACCCTTAGAAGAAAACAAGCAAATCTTTCTGACCTTGGACTTGGCAGTGATTTTTTGGATATGACAACAAAAATGGATTAAGGGTATATAGCTCAGTGGTAGACGGCTTGCCTAGCATGTGGGTTCAAGTTTCTAGGGCTACAAATACAAAACACCACCAAAAGAGTAAACATTTCTCCAAAAAAGACAAATGGCCAACAAGCACATCAAAAGATGCTTGACATCATTAGTCACTGGGAAAATGTAAATTAAAAACACAGTGATTAGCCAGGTATGGTGGCTCACGGCTATAATACCAGCGCGAGGAGGCTGGGAGGTTTCGGCAAGAGGACTGATGCAAGTCAAAGGTCAGCCTAGGCTACATAGTTAGCTGAGGGCCAGCCTAAACTATGTAGCAAGACCCTGTCTCAAAAAACCAAAAGCCAAAGCAAAACGTGATCTATTCATGCAATGAAACACTACTCAGCCATAAAAAGTGATGAAGTACCAATATACACTACAATGTGGACAGATTTCAAAAACATTATGCTAAGAGAAAGAAGCTTGACACTAAAAGGCCATATACAGTGTACTATTCCATTTATGGGAGATGTCCAGAATAGGCCAATCCATGCAGATAGAAAGCAGAATAATCGCTGCGGGTGACTGGAAGGAGGGTATAAGGGAGAGTTGCTTAATAAATATGGAGGACTCCTTTTGGGGTGATAAAAAATCTAGAACTAGATAGTGCCGATGGCTGTCCAACATTACGAATGTACTAAATGATGTCAAATCGTACACTTCAAAATAGTGAAAATGGCGAATTTTACGTATGTTTTGCCACACTCAACCACCCACATACAACTACATGGCTTCTTAATGCCCTCAAGATCTGCGCGCCATTGCTTCTTATTTAACTCACTACTTCCTCCTCCCCTCCCCACCAAGCTCCTACTCTCCCTCCTTCTGAACAAGCCATTTAAGTTTCAGCCACTGGGTTGTTCCTCACACCTCTACCGTCTGATAAATTTTCCCGACTCATTTACGTAACCAATATTTACTGAAAGTTTCCTGTATTTCAGGCCCGTATTAAACATTAGGAACATACAAGAACTAATTAACAGTGTTTATCTTTTGGAGCTTGAGAGTCAACAAATAACTGACACTGCACTGCTTAAGTTGGAGGACAACTTCCGAGTAGAAAAGTGCCACCACAGTGTATCAGTAAGGGTCCCTGACCTAGTGGTGGTAGGGGCAGGGATGTAAGGGAAAGGTTCCTTGACAAGGAGACATTTAAGCAGAGTCCTGAAGGATAAAGAAGTTAGGTTAGAGGGGCCATTTTCAAAAGGTTCAGAGCCCCAGAAGTAGGCAAGCCCTGGGCTGGTCATGCCATTCACCACTGGAAAAAGAACCTTTCAGCCAGCACCCACCCAGCCTTGGCTGCCTTTCCTAGAGCTGGAAACAGCGGTCCCAGGACCCTGGGATTTGTAAAGAGAGAGGAACAGGGAACGTTGGCCCCACACTCGAAGGAATGTTCTCCGGAAAACCGTCTCACGATCCACCTTTGTTATTTGGGAGATCTTCTGGACGAAGGTTCCCCTGTCCTTGCCTCCTTTAAGTCACTTATCCTCCCTTTCCTTTGTGACCATGGCGTATCTAGAAACTATTCACATCCTTTACTTCTGGCTCTTGGATTCAAGCTGTAGGAATAAGGACAGGGCTGACTTCACCTCTAACTCCCGAAGCGTGGTGCCGGCCCGCCCAGCGGGGCTTAGGGACTGGCAGACGTGCAGAATGCGAGGGACGCGGCGCAAGACCGGAGGGGCTCGACGGCTGGGCTCGCTCGCTCCAGCAGCGGCTTGCATCCCACGTTAAAGGGGCCTGCTCAGAGGTTTCCAACGGAACTGAACTTTGGACCTACAGAACAGGCAGTGTCCCAGGCGTTTGGGAGGGCTAGACAAGCTTAGGCACGGGGCTATGGACAGGAAGAGCGAGGATTTTCTGGGAAATGAACCAGTCAGACTGCACTTTACAATTCCACCCGCCGAGAGCCTGCGGCCCGGGCGGCTGCGCCCGTCCAGCGAGGAGCGGCGAGGTCTCCGCGGCGAACAAGTCCCGTTCACCGGCTCCCCGCTTCTTACCCGTCTCATGCGACCGCTGGACAGCAGATCTGCGATCCCCTTGGCCGCGTCGTTCTTCTCGGCCACACAGAGGACTTTCCGCACGCCTCGGAAGGCCACGTCCATGGCGGCGAGAGTCACAGCACGGCCCCCGGGCCGTCGAAGCCACCGGAGCGCGTAACGGGCGGCCGGGAGGATCATCTCTAGGCCCCGCGCCCGCAGCTGCTCTCCGGGGGCGGGCGCATGGTGGAGACGCCAGAGACGCGGGGAGTTACCGACTCTGGGAGGCGCCCGCCCTTCGGAGAGCTCCCCACCGGCCCGCTGGCCTTCGCGGCCGCAGGTACCGCTCCTTCTCCCGGCCGCCGCCGACTCTCAACCAAAGCCTGCAGCTCGTTTTGCTTCCTCCCGCCTTCTCCCGCCACTTCCTCCAGCCGGCCGCCCCACAGTGACCCGGAACTACAACTCCCAGCCTGCCTCGCGCTCCCAGCTCGCTCATCCGAGCACTTTTCTCCCCCGCACTCCGGCCCCACTTTGCTTCCTTTCAGTACAGTGTTTGGTTAGTCGGGCTGGTACTTGAGAGCAGCCGCTCGGCCGTACTGTCCAAGGCGCTCTACCTTGCTCGCTCCCGCCCGGAAGTCTGCGCAGACACTTCCGGGTCACTCGACGTTGTTGACCGGGAGTCATGTGATGCTAAGATGGCGGCGCAGCGGTAGCTGTCTCTGGGTTGTGGCGTCCAAGGAGCCCCGACGGTTTCTGCCTTCGGGCCGTGGGGGCGGCAAAGCTTGGCTGACTGCTGCGCCCACGTGAGGCCCTCAGGCAGGACTGGGCCTGTTGCGGTCGCGGTGGGCTCCGGGGAGTGCTGGTGATCTCGTTGCAGGTGCCTTGCGCCGGCGGTGCTTGCCGGAGGAAGAGCGAGAGAGCGACCGTCCTCCGCCGTCTTCTGGGTCTGCAGCTTTGCAGTTCATGGGCCTCTGCGGGCTCCGGAGGAGCTGTACGTGTAAGAGCTGTACGAGAGTTCGAGCTCCCTAGTGTGAGAGGCAGCCTAGGATCCCTGGGGCCTCAAGGACTTCGCTTCCTCCTTCAGAGGCCGGGCTTTGCCGCGTCGATTGACCCTGCGTTCTTTCCCACTTCCTCTCAATGTTCTCTCTGTATATCAGGAAATATGATCAGCGCCCCTGATGTGGTAGCCTTCACCAAAGAAGATGAGTACGAGGAAGAGCCTTACAGCGAACCGCCCCTGCCTGAGGAGTACTCCGTGCCGCTCTTCCCCTTCGCCAACCAGGGCGCCAACCCGTGGTCTAAGCTGTCCGGGGCCAAGTTCTCGAGGGACTTCATCCTTATTTCTGAGTTCTCTGAGCAGGTGGGACCCCAACCCTTGCTGACCATCCCTAATGACACCAAAGTTTTTGGCACTTTTGATCTCAATTACTTCTCTCTGAGGATCATGTCTGTGGATTACCAGGCTTCCTTTGTGGGCCATCCTCCCGGTTCCGCGTACCCTAAGCTGAACTTCGTGGAGGACTCCAAAGTAGTGCTGGGAGACTCCAAGGAAGGAGCCTTTGCATATGTGCATCACCTCACTCTGTATGATCTAGAGGCGCGAGGCTTTGTGAGGCCCTTCTGCATGGCATACATCTCAGCAGACCAGCATAAAATCATGCAGCAGTTCCAGGAGCTCTCAGCTGAATTTTCTAAAGCCTCCGAGTGTTTGAAATCAGGCAACAGGAAGGCGTTTGCTGGGGAGCTTGAAAAAAAGCTGAAAGACTTGGATTATACTAGGACAGTCCTGCACACAGAGACGGAGATCCAGAAGAAAGCCAACGACAAAGGTTTTTACTCATCTCAGGCAATTGAGAAGGCTAACGAACTGGCCAGTGTGGAGAAGTCCATCATTGAACATCAAGACCTGCTGAAGCAGATCCGATCGTACCCTCATAGGAAGGTGAAGGGGTCTGATTCGTGTCCTGGTGAGATGGCGCACACCCAGGATCAGGCTGACCCTGCATCCACTACCTCCATCCTAGATGAGTCTGCTGACCCAGACATCTACACCTGCAGACCAGCGTACACCCCAAAACTGATCAAAGCGAAGTCCACCAAGTGTTTTGACAAGAAGTTGAAGACCTTGGAGGAGCTCTGTGACACTGAGTATTTCACCCAAACGCTGGCCCAGCTCAGCCACATTGAGCACATGTTCAGAGGAGACCTGTGCTACCTCCTGACCAGTCAGATTGACCGAACACTTCTGAAACAACAACACATAACGAACTTCCTCTTTGAAGACTTCGTGGAGGTTGATGACAAGGTGGTGGAGAAACGAGAGAGCGTGCCCTCTCAGCCCAGTCAAGACAGGCTGCCTTCCCGGTCTCTGGAAGAATGCCCGATCCCTAAAGTGTTAATTAGTGTTGGTTCCTACAAGTCCAGTGTGGAGTCTGTGTTGATAAAGATGGACCAGGAGCTTGGAGATGAGGAATACAAAGAAGTAGAGGTGACAGAATCAAGCAGTTTTGACCCCCAGGAAAACCTGGACTACCTGGATATGGACATGAAAGGGAGCATCAGCAGCGGTGAAAGCATTGAAGTCCTGGGCACAGAGAAGTCTGCCGCTGTTCTGTCCAAATCTGACAGCCAGGCTAGCCTCACGGTGCCCTTGAGCCCCCAGGTGGTCCGAAGCAAAGCGGTCAGCCACAGGACCATCAGCGAGGACAGTATTGAAGTCCTGAGCACCTGTCCTTCTGAGGCCCTCATCCCTGATGACTTTAAGGCCAGCTACCCAAGTGCCATTAATGAGGAAGAATCATATGCAGATAACGAAGGGGCCATCGAGTTCAAAGCTAGCATCAGTCCACTGGAGCTGGGTGAGGCCCAGGAGGGTGGCTTGGAAAACACCCCACCCCAGATAGATTCCTCCTGCTGTATTGGAAAGGAGAACCATGGTCAGCTGGTACCACTCCCCACCCCTGCCCACACTCTCTCCGATGAGGATGGTGTGGTGAGCATTCCCCCGCAGCGCTACAGGCAGAAGGACCAGGGCTTCCATGTGGACTTTGCAGTGGAAGACACCAACCCTTCCCGAGACGACAGTTGTGAGGCATTCCCGGCTTATGAATTGGACCCGAGCCGCCTGCTGGCTAGCCGGGATGTCAGTAAGACTAGCCTGGATAACTACTCCGACACCACCAGCTACGTGAGCAGCGTGGCCTCCAGCAGCTCGGACAGGACCCCCTCCTCTGCTCACCCTGTCAGCCTGTCTTCCGAGAGGCACAGAAAGAGGGCTGGCCAGAATGCCTTAAGATTCATCCGCCAGTACCCCTTCGCCCACCCGGCCATCTACTCCCTGCTCAGTGGGAGGACCCTTGTGGTTCTAGGAGAGGATGAGACCATAGTCAGGAAGCTTGTGACAGCACTGTCCATCTTCGTTCCCAACCATGGCCACTGTGCCAAGCCTGTGAAGCACTGGGTCTCCTCTCCTTTGCACATTATGGATTTTCAGAAGTGGAAGCTTATTGGCCTGCAGAGGTAACTGGATCCAGGTGGTGGGGAGGGCTCCTGGGCGGCTGGAAATGAGCGAGGTTGCTGTCCTAGACTCAGAAGTGGTAGACTCAGTTTCTAGACGGCCCAGCACCAACACGGTGTTACTTCTGGCAAGTAATTTTCCTCTCTGGCTTTGGTTTCATTGTCATTTAGAAGGAAGAATCACAGTTTCTTAAGTAGTTGCCAATGCCATTGTGTCCCTCCGTTGTGTCAGATTTATTTGGGAGAACTTCTTGGTGTCCATCCTCAGAGATTCTGATTCAGTTGGTCTGGGGTAAGAGAAAGACTCCGTTTGATGTATAGCAATGTTGCAGCTCTCAGGTTCTTTCTGACTCAAATTCACACTGGTGACTGTGGCCATCATTGATGGGACAGGAGGGCTCCGTGGCTTTTACTCAGCTCTTCTGTTTGCTCTTTGTTTTGTTTTGTTTTTTTGAGACTGGGTCTTGCTATATAGTCTAGGCTGGCCTTGAACTCACCATGTAGCCTCCAACTCGGCAGTCCTCCTGCCTCAGCCTCCCGAGTGCTGGGATTACAGGTGTGCACCACCATGCCCTGCTTCTGTTTGCTCTTGAACCTACTGTTTTCTTGTTTGTTTTTGTTTTTGCGGTTCGAACTCAGAACCTTGCCCAGGTCCTCTGCATGCCAGGCAAGAGCTGAAACTCTGAGCTACATCCCCAGCCTTAAAAAGGAAACCTGAGAGCCACTCCCCGCCGCTCCTTGGGACCTTGCGCTTGCCAGGCAGGCGCTTGTGCTGCTGAGCTGTATCCCTGGCCCCAGGAGCCGCTTTTTCCTCCCTCCCTCTGAATACTGTTTATTTCATTCCACTACTACTTGTGCTTTAATAGATTCCTTTGTCTTTCCGAATACTGTTTGACAGGTCTAGCTGAGCCTCTTCCCCACCTTGTTTTTTTTTGTTGTTGTAGTTGTTTTTTTTTTTTTTGTCTTTTTGAGACGTGGTCTCGATATGCAGTTCAGGCTGGCCTTGAGCTCACTTTGTAGCCCAGGCTGGTCTCGAACTTGCAATGATCCTCGTGCCTCATCCTCCCAAGTGCTGGGATTATGGGCATGTGCCACCACGTCCTGCTTTCCCCACCTTGTTTGCCCCCTGTTTAGTTTCCTCATTTTGTGACATGTTGCTTTCGTTTTCTTCACTGGCTTTGCTCACTGGTAAAATGAAGGTGCCCAGCTAGGTGATCATTAGTCCCATCTGAGGAAGGAGCAGTCTATTCTCACAGACGGGGCAAAGGAATTTTTTCCACACTGCAATAGCAACCGTTTCTCTCTACATGGTGCCTAATACCAGTGAAACTCCCACCTCCTGAGTCTTCTTGTGTTTGTCCCTCTTGTGGAAGGAGTGAGACCTCCTGTGACTTGCTGCATTAGAGTTACTCGATGGTACAGTGGCAGCTCAGCAAATGCTGCTTCCACGCTATGACTTGGGTCACTTGTGGAGAGTCTATTCCATGCTGTGCTGGCACCCGCCAAGGACCAAGGGAGGTGTTTGAACAAGGCCACTGCTCTGGAGGAGTTCGTAGTCCAGGCGCGGAGGGAGACCGGTGACCAGAGTGTTCATGGAGACAAGGGTTTTAGTAATGGGATGCTTCCCATGTCTTGATAAAAGGAGCAGCGTGGTTACACGGGAGGTGAAGAGTGAGTCTGCTTGAGCACACAGGAGGGCGGGCAGCCAGGCAGGCAGTGAGGGGTCCGTCAGGAGAGAGTGCCCTTGAGGCCCCAGGAGGAGCTGTTCTCCAGCTTCTTTCTGGGGCCAACTGGTCCCTGCTTCTTGGTCCATCATGAAAGGAAAGCCTTTCCTAGATTGGCTTTTGCTGCTGTTACTTGTGGAAGGATGGATCAGTGTCCTTCACAAACAAATCTTTCTGTTCTTCAACTCCCCCATCCCAATTTGGCATTGTAAAAGTTAGAGAATCAAAACTTCACAAAATAGGGCAGCTCATCAGTCTGTCGACACAGGAAGCCTTCCCAGAGGCTCCCCAGAATTTCCTGGGGTAGCATGTGCCAGAACAGTGCAAGAGGCTCAGGTAGTCCGCTGCAAGGCTTTGTCTAGGGACCCTGGGGACTAGGGTGAGTTGCAGAGGCTGCCCGTGAGCTATCTATGCATGATGTGAGGGTGCTGGTGGGCAATGTGTTTGTCTATGGAGGGGAAGAAGAGGCCTGAGGAGGTCTGCATTCGGGCTGCTCTGCCCCTCCCTGGCTCATTCACAGTGGGCACCTGGACAGGTCACTCCCGATGCTAACAAAATGAGAGGCTTTGATCGCTGGTTATTTGCCAAATAGTTATGAGGGCAGCTAAGTGCTAGACACTGCCTAGGGGGAGCCAGTGTGGTTCGCTCTGGCCCCCCTGTCACCGTGCTGCCTGCTTGACCTCTGAGGCTGTTTCCCATGCTGCAGACAGAGCTGACAGAACCTGCCTCCTGGTAGCAGATGTCCCCACGCCCCTGGGATCTGATTGGCGTCTAATGCATGTGAGTGTGCCTGTGTCACACCGGTGGACTGTGAGGGAGACAGGCAGGATAGCAGGGCTGCAGGTGGTTCAGGGAGCATCCCCGTGGGAAAGCCCGAGGCTCTCAGAAGTGACTGCTGAGGCCAATGCACAGATCCTCAAGCTGGAACTTTTCTCACAAAACTGCCCCCACATCTGCGTGGGGACAGATGTTGGGTATGAGGAGCCCAGTGTCCTGTTCGGTGTCAGCATACAGTCAGAGACGGGGGTGGGGGCTGCGCCGGGAGAACAGGCCACAGAAGGTGCCAAAGTGCTGTGGGAATGGGTCAGCTACAGCTCATCCAGAGGCGCCCCCTCGGGGATGGTGAGGAGGACCGCGATGGTGGAACATCGGGAGAACACTGCTGTGGGCTGTGGCAGTTGGAGAAGGAGCGGTGGGGCCCGGGTTGGGCTGTGGTACTGCCATCGCTGCTGTGTGGACCCTTGCTCATTGATCCCCAGATCAAGCTGAGCCCTTCTGTGTGGGGTGTGGGGGTTGGGCCGTCATGGTGCCCACCTTTGGAGCTGTGGGAAGGTCTAACATTTAGAATGTGGGACGGGCTCTAGGAGTGCTCAGGGACGTGGACACACATTGGGTCCGCAAGCAGGCCAGAGCTGTGTTGGTGCAGTGAAGCACACGGAGGCCCAGCTTTAGAAGTCACAAGGAGGGGGAGAGATGCCGTTTGCACTCCTGACCTTGTCCACGGAGCTGTTGAATTACATTAGGACTAGGTTAATTTGGACTCCAAGTTCCTTTGGTTTCACCTAGAATCAGCTCAGATAATGAACTGTTTTCCCACTCACCTTGAACCACTAGCCTCACTGGCCTTAGATTCTTCTCACCTACATAGGACTCCTGCCTAGAAATCCAGCCCCAGTTGGCCGGGTCAGTGTTGGTGGGAAGAAGAGATGAAGGTGTAGTCGCACTGGTCTCCCACCATTGTGTACGAATACCAGGGAAGACCGCGTGCCTGAGGAGGCAGCAGGGATAAGCCCTGGACTGGTGCATAAACAGAACTCAGTTGTGGAAGAAAGTGCTAGTGGGGATCAGAAGGCTGGGTTGTCTTGGCTGGGTGACGGTGGACAAGCCACAGGCCCAGGGGGGTCTCTGTCTTACAGACCAGGGTTGCCGCTCCTGACTTTGGGCTGGCCACACAGTGTGTTAAGCAGGTGCGGTGGGAGGTGCTCCCTGCAGCAGAGGATCGAGGTCTGGGCCTGACTCCCTGTCCTCTGGCCTCCTGAGGAGGAGCTCTGTGGGAGACAAATGGAAGAGCTGTAAGTAACCAGCACCTTCCAGAAGTGCTGCCATTGAGAGTGTGAGAAGTGCCAGAGTGGCACCCAAGGGTGCTGGATCTGAGCTGGGCATCTCAGCGGAGATGGAGGAGCAGGTAGATAGGAAGTGCGTCCTGGGTGGAAGGGGCACTAGACATGGCAGTCTTAGGGAGCTGTTACCCAGGGCAGGGGAGGGTGCCTAGGGAGCAGACAGTGTAGAGAAGCCAGAGGGCTGGAGACCACTGAGGCACTGGGGGTTCTAGTAGTGCAGGTTAGGGAGGCTGGCTTATAGATCTACCCTGGAGGGACTTGCAAGCTGATTTTCCCTTTGCCTGTGGAGTGTGCCATCTAGGTTTAGGACACAGGGCCTGAGTGGCTCTCACCGTCCCATTGGTGTACCTTTGCCTTGCTGTGGTCTTCCTGCAGTCCCCAGGGCCTCCCTTCCTGCTAGGGCCCATCTCTGGGGTCGCACCTCAACAAACCTCCCTGGTCTCCCAACCACGGGTCTCTCTTGTTCACACCGAGACCAAGTGTCCCTTCTCTCTGTGCTTATGTGCAGGCCTTCTCCCAGTCAGTGCCAGCTCGTGCAGGACAAGACTCCAGGTCATTCCTCACTACAGACTTGGTTCCCAGACCAGTCCCTAGTAGGTGGTAGATGTGTAGTGCTTTTTAACTGAGACCGAGTGGGTATATAGAATGGAGACGCTCCTTGTCCTGGGGGAGATGAATAAACAGACAGTAGTCACCAGACTGGTTGGTGTAGGTTCAGAATAGTAAAGATGATAATAGCAGCCCCTTCTGAGGGCCAGACACCATCCTAAGGCAACTCACTTTGTAGTAACTGAGTAACTCCATGTAACAGTAGGAACTATTTTCTCCATCATAGATGAGGCTCAGAGAGGGTAAAGAGTTTTGACTAAGGTTGCAGGACAGGAGCAGAGGCACAGAGAAGAGCAGATCAGGGAAGGCTAGACGTGCTTTAAATTGCTGTTAGTCAAGTCCAGGAGGGAGACAAGGGGTTCTAGGTAGAAGAACAGGCAGGTGGTTTGAGCTCCCTGAGGCTTGCCTTGTTCCCAAAAGAGTCCATTCAGGTAGTAGTCCACTCCTCCTTCAGAGACCAGTAGGAGTCAGAAGGTACAGGGCCTTATGGAACAAGCCAAAATGTTTGAACCTGTTCGTGAGGGTAGTGAGGAGCCCTTCCAAGGTTTTGATGATCACATTTACCTTTCAAAAGGAACCAGTGCCTGCTGAATTGGGGGGACCAGCCTGGGGACAGTGGGCCGCATGCCTCAAGTGTCTGCCTCCTCTTCCTGACCCTTGCCCATCCTCCTGACCTTGGCCTGTCTGTTTCAGAGTGGCCTCCCCTGGCAGTGCAGGCACCCTTCATGCCTTGAGCCGGTACAGCCGCTACACAAGCATCTTGGACTTGGACAACAAAACCCTGCGCTGTCCCCTGTACAGGGGCACGCTGGTGCCCCGCCTGGCAGACCACCGCACTCAGATCAAGCGGGGCGGCACCTACTACCTGCACGTGCAGAGCATGCTCACCCAGCTCTGCTCCAAGGCCTTCCTCTACACCTTCTGCCACCACCTGCACCTGCCTGCCCATGACAGGGAGACAGAGGCCATAGTGGCTAGCCGCCAGCTGAGCTTCCTGAAGCTGAACCTGGGCCTAGTGAATGAGGACATCAGGGTGGTGCAGTACCTGGCTGAGCTGCTGAAGCTGCACTACATGCAGGAATCTCCTGGGACCAGCAACCCCATGCTCAGGTTTGACTATGTACCCAGCTTTTTGTACAAAATCTGAGGTTGGTCCCAGCCACTGTGACCAAGACCTGTGACTCAGGGTACGGCGAGGGCAGGGGCTGGCATGACCAAAAGGTTGCCCGAGCTGGACTGTTGAGATTTCTGGTCTTGCCAGTAGGAAGGAGACAGAGAGTTGAGAGTCCAGTTTTCTGAAAGTGTCTGGAAGTACAGTCAGTTTCCTTTGGCCCTGGTGAAGAATGGCCCCTGGATAAGGGGGTGTCTCTGGCTTTCTGAGGACCAGCAACCCAAGCAGGAAGAAAAAGCCTCAGTCTTTGGGTAGGGAAGAGGTAAGGGGTGAAGCTATAGTGGAAGCACACTGGCCACATTCAGCATCACTGGACACTTGAATGGCAAGAATCACCCGGGGAAGCAGCCTGTTAACTGATGATTTGGAAGAAAACAGAATGATAAAATGTCGTTGCCTCATTGAGATCCCCATGTGGCACTTTATTTGGCCTCTTGGAGCCCATCATCCCAGGGGAGGCTCCTAAATGAGATGGAGGAAGAAGGCTCCGGCCAGCTGGGGAGTGGGAAACGCGCTTCTAGGCTCCAAGGCTGCAGAGAACACGAGCCGCCCCTCTGTCCTCACCTCTGCAGGGAGGTGGCCCTGGGAGAATACTCACAGTCATCACTAGGCCCAGGTGGGAAAGAGGCGCCAGGCGGCCACAGCCAGTGTGAGGACTCCTGGGACTGCAAGTGGAGCCAGCCATGGGGCCACAGGCTGTCTCCACCGTTCAGGTGATGAGCTGTAGTTCTGGGTCTGCCCATGGCGCTTTCTCGCCAGAGCGCATGAGCACTGATTGTCCCCTGGGAAGGTCACATGCTAGGACTTGGCAGAGGTCATAACTCCAGTTGCCACCCACAGCAAACCTTTGCAACCACTTCACTACCTCTCACGGGGTCTTACGGGCCTGGGGACAGCGGTTTTCTGCTTAGCTGTTCGGTACGGATGGTCAGCCTGGCTGGCGGGAACTGAGATGGCAGGGATTTCACTGGCCAGCTCCCACGCGGCCCTGCCTCTGGCAGGCTGTGCTTACCTGTTCCCACAGCTCACGACTGCCCCTGTGCAAGTCGCTGTTCAAAGACGGTATTGTCCTCTGGCCTCTCCATCACCTTTCCCATTTCTGGTGATCAGCATGGCCTCCCCACGGCTCTGTACCAGCTGTCACTGCGTTTCTCACAACCTTGAAAAATACCATACTTTTATTTTTATGCTGTTTCTTCCCTGTAAGTAGGGACAGCTCTAGGTGTTACTGCTTTTTAATTTGTTCCATGAAAACTGCTCAACTAGCCCTGAGTCAGTCCTGCGTGTGCATCTTTCAGCCTGTGTGCCCTGTACTTGTGTCCTGCTGTTGTGGCTTGGTCTCCCTGTCAGCCTGTGCACACCACCGAGCCCCTCACTGAGAGCGCCAGCCTTGCTTCTGAGACCGCAGAGACGTGGTAGAAAGCAGGTGACCGAAGACAGCTCGCAACACATCGCTCCTTCAGTCACCTTCCTTGCCCAGGTCCTTGGCGCAAAGATAGGACCTGTTGGCTTCAGCCGTTGGGTTCTCATCAGGGACCCTGTTTCTGTCAGAGTACGAGATTCTGATTCTGAGGCTGTGCCGAGAATCTTCTGGGCCGTGTTGCTGCCTGCGTCGTACCAGTTGTCTTTGCCCGTTACATGTGTCCACAGACAGAAGCCAGAGGACACCTGGGCAGCTTCTGACTGGACTATCCGGTCTGTTCTCTGTATGGGCTCCTGATCCGTTAGCACTTCCCTCTAGTACTTTAGATGCCACTTGGCTGTTGTGTGGGTGGCTCAGCCCTGTCTCCTCACGCCTGCGTGGACATGATCTCGCAGTGATCTTGGGGAGATCTGTGGAGTCCAAGAGATGGGCTGGAAGCAGTCGTCGGCACCACTGCTGCTGCCTTTCTGTGTGTCACACGTCGCGGAAACTCACTGCCGATACTATGCTTACCTGGGAAACTGATAAAGGTGATGAGCTTTGTGCAGAAACTGAACTGCAGCCCTGCCTGTAGCTACGGCCATGCCTGCGCTGGTCTTAAGTGGGAGTCCACAGGGTTAGGGTGGGGTGGTTGTGTTTCTCCGCGCTCAGCCCTAGGCTGGCTCAGTAATGAAGGCGGAGCCTGGTGAGGAGCAAACAGAACAGGTAGTCCTGTAAATGACAGACGAGCCTCAGCCTCGAAGTGGTTCCTGTCCTGAGTAGGGCTTGAACACCCCAGATTTAGATTTGGTTATGGACAAACTTTTCTGCATGGCAATTTGAAAGGGTTATTTAAATAAAGCGTGTTTCCTTTCAAGAGGGTTCTCAGAACAGTGCTGGGACTGAGTCATCGCTTGGGCAGAGGTTAATCCTGGACGCACTCAGGCGGGAGACGAGCCTCTCCATTTTGGAGGACTTGAAGTTTTAGAAGTCTCACCTTGACATGCGGAGACACATGCAATGGGACTAACCTCTTCAACAAGAGTTTTCAGTCTGGTATTCCTCTAGTAATGGGCTAAGAAATTTCCATCAGCATTTAAAGACATCTCCTAGAAAGTAGGTGACAGCAATTCCTTATTCTTTACTCCTGTCACTTCAGTGGCCTGCTGCTGAAACTGGCTGGCTGAGGTTGGTTTTAACTTGACTTCCAACCTGTTCTCTCTCCCTTTTGTAACAGTCCAGGTGAAGAACCACCTATTAGGGTGGCAGTGATACTCGCAGAGGCTCCATTTTAGGGATCAGTCTGTGGCCACCTCTAATGTGGGGCAGGAGGGGTGTGCCGGCCTGAGGTGCTGCCGCCTCCTGTCTCAGTGTTTCCCTAGTAATCGTTGGTGGAATCTTCAGATTTTAGGAATTGTAACTTCTCCGCACAATTTACAGTGGTTGAAGTTATACACATTGCTCCTGGGTTTAGAAATGGACAGTGATAGGGAACCTGGCATTCCCCACCTTGCTTTTAATCTGTTTCAGATCACTTGCTGTATAGATTTCAGCCCCCACCAATTCAGAAGTTCTACTTCAAATTTGTAAGGCCAGTAGACTTAGACGTCACCCTAAGTGCCAGAGCGGCTATGGCTCTGCTAGAGGGAAAGAGCAGCCCTCCACTCGCTGGATATCTTGCGTGTACACTGGCCATCTGCCAGTAATCAGCACGTGTCCCATGCCCAAGCGTGAGTGCCGTTTGTGGGCTGGTGTCTTGTCCCGTTGTGTTACGTCTTCGTCTGCAGGGCCAGCAGTACCAACCGGGCTAACGGAGAGGTGTTCGCAGACACGTAGGCCTCTGGAGGAGGTAAGCTGGCACGGCAGGCACACGGGCTTCCCCCAGGCTCCTTTACCCTCCCTCTCCAGAAGGCTCATGAGGAAGTGCCTTGGGCTGTGCTTTGAAGAGCACTAGCTAGCTTTTGGCTGTGCCCCAAAACTGTGATCAAAAGTGACAGAATTGGAATTTTTAAGAGACAAAAGTATTAACAGACTGCAAAGAGGAAAAACCAAATTTCTACTGGCCGGAAAGCAAAGCCACTTTCAGGTGATAAGGACGGGCGTAAGTCCCCATCTCCCTCCCTGAGCCCCTCGTCTGCTAGTTTGGTTGAAGCTTTGGGAAGGATGTGGCAGAAGGGGATGGGGGAGTGGGGGTAAGGTGAAAAGCTCCAGCTTGTAACTTGCTGGTACGTGACTCAACTCAGGAGGGTCTGCTCGGCTCCCAACCGGAGATTACACACAAGGGGCTTGGAGATGTCCCATTACCTTCAGCTGGGCAGGAATCAAGCTTCCAAATTTAAGACTGCTGAGGCAGCACATCAGCTCCCAGATCTGAGGCGGAGCTGTGGGGACTGATGTCACCCACGTCCAGTGGGGACTGCTGCAGCTGTCTGCACGCTGCAGTGCCGGAAATACCTACGCCTTGGACTCTGAGCCCTGGGGCCCATCACCTACAACGCAGGACCCCAGGGAGCCTCAGCCAGGCTGTCTGACACTGGATAGCTGGAGCCACAGTTTGGACTGAGATAAATGCCACTCTAGAGGCTGCAGTGAGAAAAAGCATAGTTCGTGCTGAACTCGTAGTTATTTTCTAAAAAGCTATTTTATTATTGCATGTCTGTGTCTGTGAATGTTTGTCCTGACCCCACGAGCTGAATTGTCACAGTGGCTAAAGCCAGAGTATGACTGACGTATGTGACAGTGTCTCACAGGTGTGACTGCACAAGTTTAACCAGAGTAAATGCCAAACACAGTATGAGGAGTGTACTTTTTAAGAAATTAATTTATTTGAGTTTAGATATTTTTGAAATATAAAAATTGGTTGTATTTTTTAAAGCTATGATTCTTGTAGACATTGTGGTTAAAAATTTGATTGTGCTTATTAAAATGGTCATGTATGGTTTGCATCTCAGCTATGTGAAAAATAAAATTCTCTGGGAAGGTGACATTTGGGTTCCTGAGTGGAGGAGGGAGTTGGTTATCTTGAGCAGAACAGAAAAGCCTGTATTACCTTGTTTTTTGTTTTTTGTTTTTTTTTCCTCCGGTACCGGGAACCGAACTCATGACCTTGCGCTTGCCAGGCAGGCGCTTTGCCACTGAGCTAAATCCCCAGCCCCAGAAAAGCCTGTATTACAGCCGTCACACCAGGAAGGAAGCGGCACTTCCCTGGGTGGGAAAAAAAACCCATTTCTTTTATTTTAAAACTTTTTTTGAGATAGGGCCTCACTCTATAGTCCAGGCTGGTGTTGAGCTCACTATGTATCCCACCTGGCCTTGAACTCAAGGCAGTCCTCCTGTTTCAGTCTCCTAAGAGCTGGGATTAGTGGCACCACACCCAGCTAACCATTCCTTTTATAACAGGCTTTCTGGCGTTGAAGATTAAATGCAGGGCCTTGCACATGCTGAGCATGTGCTCTCCTTTGAGTGATACCCCAGCCCTTCACTGTACTGTGAGCTGCTGACAGCAGCTGGGTGCATCTTTACACTTGCTAACTTTAAAGCACAAGGCAGGAGACTCGGAACTACCCCCTGCAGTTGTGAACAGTCCCCATTCAGTGCTCCCTGGGCATCCTACGGGGCGTGAAGCAGGAAGAACGGGCAGCATGTACAGTCTATGAACCTGGGTGTTTCTAACCTGTCACAGCGAGTCGGGAGCCCCGAGAGGACTAAGAACACTGCACTCTAATAGCTTTGCCCTGCACCATTTTGTAAATGATTAAAGCCACTTGGCTACACAGTATTTCATTTTTTCCAGAGTAATTATATATATATGGGTGTTGAGAAAGTTAGATTCAAATTTCAATTCCTTAATAACCTGTCCCAGAACTACTAACAATGGGACTTGGATGAACTTTGATTTGTGAAACCAGAATAGTCTGTAAGACACGCCCCTCGGAAGGGACAGGGCAGCATAAGGCTCTGCCTGGTAGCTCTGTTGTCCCAAGAGGGTACCGGCTCCTTAGCAGGTCCCTGGGCGGTCAGTGTGCATGGCACCGAGGCAGACGCACAGCAGGCTGGCTCCTTCAGAAGCCAGGTAGGCCAGGCAGGGGGAAGAGAGAAGCGAAGCGCTCTACCTCCTCCCGGAGGGCCCACACAGCCTTCTGGTGCTTCTCGTCCCCTGCCAGCTTCTCCTTGAACTCCTTCAGTGTGGCCCTTGAGCCCACGTCGTTCTGAATCTGTAGAGTCAGCTCTATACCTGTGCAGGAGACAGTGAATCCCCTGTGAGCTTGTCGCATGCCAGACACACCAAGGGAGAGGACAGCTGAGCCGGAGCACCACTGCCACAAGCACACCTAGGCTGGGAGTGACTGAGCATGGTGGCCGTCGGTGTTCTCCCTCAGAAGTGATTCTCGTGCGTGGGGTCCCTCAACAGGTGACCCTGGGCAGCACACATTCATAAGCCTCTCAGACAGGAGGAGCTGCTCGAGTGATTTCGTCATCCCCTGTCCCCAGCAATCAGCTTTGGTAGAAATACCCTTTGGTGGTGGTATCTCAGCTATTTGGGTATAGTCAGAAACTTCGTACACACAATAAAATGTGGCATACTTCCAAAATCTTATCCTTACCTTTGTGGATAAAGTATGCTACTTTTTGGAAGTCTTTCTCCAAAAGTCCCCGGGTCGTCAGTGCTGGGGTCCCCAGTCGCAGTCCACTGGGCCTCAGTGCGCTTCGGTCACCTTTAAGACAAACAGGTCTCCATCCCTAGGCTGCACCCAGTGCCCCACCATGGTTACTACACATTTAAAAAGGGATACTTTGGCAGGAAGAATTGGCCTGAGGACCTTTGCTCTATCTTGCCAAAAAAGTACAGCTGACTTAAAAACTCTTTAAGTACAACCAAAAGGTACGAGGAGGCAGGGTCACATTTGGATTACTCCTGGTGGGTTTTTTTGTTGTTGTTTTGTTTTTATCTTTTGGAGACAGGATCTAGCTATGTGGTTCAGGCTGGCCTTGAGCTCACTTTGTAGCCCAGGCTGGCCTCAAACTTGCAACGATTCTCCTGCCTCAGCTCCCAAGTGCTGGGATTACAGGCACACGCCACCACGCCGGCTGTTTTTGTATTTTTAACACTAGCAAGTTTTTAAAGAGAGGAAAAGGAACAGGCTCTGCAGAGTGACTTTGGGCCAAGTGGAAGTAGGAAAGGAAGTGCGCCCTGTAGTGCAAGGGTGAGCCCTGTGTGAGAGAACACTGGCCTGGGTCACTCTGCTTCAACAGAATGCAAAGCAGTGTTCTGTGGTATGGCCCTTTGCAGTTAAACATCTGTGGGGTCTGATATGAGTCAATGGCACTAACACACCGAGAAATGCTACTTGCTTTTTTTCTTTTTTGATTTTTTTTTTTTTTTTTTTTTTTTTGAGACAGGGTCTCATTACGCAGTTCAAACTGGGCTTGAGCTCACTTTGTAGCCCAGGCTGGTCTTGAACTTGCAACGATCCTCCTGCCTCAGCCTCCTGAATGCTGGGATTACAGGCATGCGCCACCACGCCTGGTGCTTCTTTTTTTATTTAATTTAATTTAAATTTTTTTTTTTTTTTCCCCGGTACCGGGAATCGAACTCACGACTTTGCGCTTGCCAGGCAGGCGCTGTGCCACTGAGCTAAATCTCCAGCCCCCTTTTTTTATTTTAAAGAGGAAAAAAAAACTTGGAAAACAAGATAACGGGAGGGTAACAATGATTAACACACTGCGTGTTGTTATTTTTACATAAGTCACTCAGAGTACAAGATACCGGCATTTAATTGTCCAAACAATATTAGCTCCAAACACTCTTTTCAATGAACTAAGAGAAATTAGTAGTATAACTGTCTTTTAGGCTGAGTGTGAAGAAGTTCAGGGTTAGCTCTCCACTGCATATATGTATCCCCCGAAGCCACTTACCTGTATTAGCTACAAGTTTGGTGAGAAGAGACGCAGACAGGGAGGGTGTAGAAAGGAAGACCAAAGAAGAGTCTCACCTGGGCAGGTGTTCTTATTGCAGGCAATAGAACAGGCTTCTAGCACCTTCTCGGCCCTTCCACCATCTGTGCCCTTAGAACGCAGATCCACGAGGATCAAATGGTTGTCAGAGCCACCTGGAAACACAGTTGGACAGAAGGCTGAGCACAGGCCAGGTGGAACCACCTTTCTTCCTGAGAAATGTGGGCGGGGGGCTGGTGGCGGTGGTAAAAAGTCCAGTGCCAAAGAGGTCAGCAAAGTGAGCACTCATCCTGTGACCCAGAATATCCGTTACCCGCAAGAGAAAAGATGCGCCAGGCCCAGGGAGTGGAAAAGAAGGACAGCACACATGTTTAAAGGGGTAGCTAATACACAGGTGGGACGTGAGGCTGCCAGGTAAAATGTTCGGCAGCTTTTGTACCCCAGGCTGCCACGCCCAGGACACAGCATACCGCGGGCCAGAATAGGCTGCCGTGCGTCGTACTGTCTTTACAGTTTCTGGCTTCTCTAATGACCCGGAAATTTCCGAAGTGTCCCCTCGACGTCCACCTTTTTTCCAGCCCTGGGATTGTACTCGGGGTCTCAGATACACTTGGCAAGTGTGCTACCACTGAGCCATACCTCTGGCCTCTTGAACACCAGTCTTAAAGGTGTGAGACCAAAATGCTGTATGTTTTGGACTCAGACTTTCAGATTTCTGGATACTTGCTAGACGTCTCTGGTTGAACATTCAGGGCCTCTGGGTCTTTCCGTCGGAACGTTCATTAAGCCCATATGTGGACCTGAGACAGCCGTGTTTTCACCTGGGCCATGGCCTAAACTGCAGGGGTGATTTCAAGGGTACCGGTGAGCTGAGTCAGCAGCTTAACTCTGGAGCCCCACAGCTGAGTCCGCTGACCTGCCATGTGGCATTTGTCAGGCAGCTCAACATTCTGGAACTGCAAGTGTCCATTATGAAAAAAGTCAATATTCACAGAGCTGTGATGATATTTATCCAAGACACTGCATGTAAGCTGGGCCTGGTAGCACAGAACACTAATCGCAGCACTCAGGAGGATGAGACAGGAGGATCACCACGAGTTCAAGGCCAGCCTGGGCTACAAAGGGAGTTCAAGGCCAGCCTGAACTACATAGTGAGAACCTCAAAAAACAAAACAAAGAAACAAAAAACTGCACGCAGTGCTTGGTACAAGTGAGTATTCATAGCCATTACCTGCTTCACCATCTGCATCGTGTCCGCAGAGAACAGTGTGAACACAGCGGCACCATGGGGAGAGGACAGGCCCGGGGTGCAGAAAGGAAACTGCTGGGAGCTCCAGCATGCGGGCTGCCTTGCAGTGCCCGTGGTGAAAAGGAACAGGGACCGGTTCCTGAATCCTCAGTGGCAGTTCCCAGACCAGCACCACCGAGGAGCTGGTTAGCAGTGCAGCGCCCACCCAGGAGGTGCATCAGACGCTGTTTCCATAGGGTCCCCAGGGAATCCCTTTCATAGCCACATCTGAGAGACAGTGACATAAGCGACCGTAAAGGTCACGGTCCACACTGGGACTCCCAGAGCTTTATTGTTTAAAGATGTGAAGGACGGAGAAGAGGAAAGGAAGAAGACAGAAGAGAGTGCTACCCAGGACCTCTGAGAAGATGGCATCTGCCCAGCCCCTGCTAGCTCTGCTGCTCCTGGACATAAAGCTGGGTGGGAGTGCCATTCCTCAGACTGGGGCGGGGTACTGCCACCTCTACAGGGTGAGGGGCAGGGTGCTGGGGGAAGCTCTCAAGCGATCCCAGGAGCCCTTCCTGGACCACCTCTGCTACACACATGGCGGCTGTGGGAAAGCCAACTTTCCTCATAAAATGGCATCTGCAAAAAAATACTGTCCTCCCTGGAGGTACCGGCAATGCCTAGGAGGCAAATGGCGGCCCTGGAGCGGGGGTGTCCCCTGGAACGTGCCGCTTGCTCACAGGCAATAGCTCCAATGCGGTTTATATTAGAGCAAATAGGGCTCTACAAAGTCAACTACCAGGGAAATGCAGCCAACATGCCCTCGAACCCTGAGCTCAGACCATACTTCAGAAGGTCCTGGCTCTGTCACCTACCAGGCATGTTATGATTATAGCCTCAC